GTCTTCCTTAGTTTCCCCAGGCATTTTATAGCCCACTACGTTCCTTAGTTTCCCCAGGCATTTTATAGTCCACTATGTTCCACTGCTGTGCCAAACATATGTTACTTAACTTTGTCCAAATACATGTAAATCCTCAGAAATACTTTCTAGTACATGGTAGAAAAGTATAGACAAGCCTAGAGTAAACAATTAGTTGTTGGCTTTGAAGATGGAGTAGTTATTCTAGGTAATACAATCCTAATCCAATACAGTGTTTTTTTTTGTCTGCTTGCTTCCCACTGTGTGTGTGCGGTGAAGACAAATCTAGTGTTTGTACACAGCCCTGGCTCTGTAAATGGGAAACAAACGAAGTGGCCCTGACCGAGCCACATAACTTGTTAGTCAGGTAATATTAAGTGACTTGCATAGTATGAGATTCAGCTTACTTTCCAGTTTGCCAAGATATGCTGTTATTCTACTGTTAGCTATAGTTGCAGGAAATTTGTGATTCACGCAGCAGTAACTGTAGCAACAGTTTGCAAACCCACTATATATCTAATGTTAGTTACATTACTTTCTGGGTCCTTGTTCGCACTTTATCAGGGTATCTGTCATGGTATTGGATTTCTCCAGTATTGCTTTTCCCACCTTTAAGCAATAGTTGGACATTTTGGAATTACACTTATTCTCTTTCTTGCAGAGAAAAGCCAACATTGATTAGCATAGCTTAGCTTAGCATAGAGACTGAAAATAGGGGGAAACAGCGAGCCTGGCTCTGTCCAAACCCTGGCTCTAAAGCTCACTAATTAAAATTATATATCTTGTCTGTTTAATTTGTACAAAAACCAAAGTGTAAAAACAGTAATTTGCAATTTTGAAGCGGCTCGAGGAATGTTGTACTATTCCTTTAATTTAATTTAAAGTCAATATTAATATCTCAGCTGTAGGCAATGTGGCAGCTTTTCTCTGTGGAGTGACTCATTCTACACATCCATTGGACACAGACACACATACACACACAATCAGCGCTATCCAGGTGCCTGAGCTATTGAGTCACAGTCTTAGCATGTATATTTTATAGTAACTCGAGCATGTGTGAGTGTGTGACTGCAGACAGGTATACGGGCTCCGTTGTGTAAACTGTGTAAAGTGGCGTGAATGTGCACACGCCGTTGTGTCTTGAAGAAACGGTTCCTAAGCAGCGGGTATATGTGTCTGTTTCATGGAGACAGTTGCTAAGCTATGTGTACTGAACAACAATAGTGGTTTTCAAGCCTGTTTGGACTCTTGGGTGATTGCTGTGGTCTTCAGCTGCAGTCACAGTCACTTCTCTCTCTTCTTTCTTGGTCGACTTTGTTCTTAATGGGGACTTTTTTCTGCCACTCTTGGCAACCCTGCTTATTCTGCCTGCCAAATTTAGATCGACAGCATTTGAATAGATAAATAAAGAAGATATTGATTGAAACACTCACACGTTTAAATAAAGAGGCGCTGGGTGGATGATAAATCTGAAGCGGTGCAAGCTTTTTTCATTGACTGCCTGTGATATTTTCTGAATGGAGGGGTCTATTTCAAAGTTTTAAGTCTTTTTTTATGTGGTCCACACCTTGAACGCTCTACCCCTCATTCCCCTCACACAGCTCCCATGGGCATTTCATCACCTTGACAGAAACCTGGCATTAGATGGATTTATTCACTTGCACATGCACAAAGTCATTTCAGTGATTATTTTTTCCAGAAACTTTGAAGGAGGGAAGCCCAAGTGTGTGCTTACGGAAGAATAAGTGAGTGCTTACAGGAAGACAAGTACATATCTATGAGGGAAGAAATGTGCAAGTAAATTTTGAGGGTGAGCATGAGTAGACACTTAACAGAGGCAAGTATCTGCATACAAGAGAACACTAACTGTGCTATAGGAGCCCCTACATTGGATTTCTCATATAAAACAAGTGTGCTGTTTACTTGTGAGGAAATATTCTTGTGATGTATGTGAAAGAAGAGCAGAGAATTTTCATTCTCAACCCTGAGTTAACTTACATAGAAAGGAAATTACTTTAACATATGATTACATTTAGGAGCTGCTAATTTATTTCATCCACATGGTTAAAACTCTCTGAAAATATACAGCAGCATATGTGCCAACCATGTCTTCAAATGTATCATAAAAAGAGAAAGATTTGGCTTTAAATTAGCATCACCTATCCGTTCTGGGTATTCAGATTTAAAAAAAGATTTAGCTTATTTCATTTTGAGATCTCATCGTGTTCATCTGTCACTGTAAATTACAACTGGGACTGTTTGCTGTTTCATCCCATTTAATTTTTATTATTTAAGGGGGAAAGCAGACTGACAGGTAGAGAGAGGGAGGCAGATGAGAAGAGACCGAAGGGTAGAGAAAGAGACAGAGATGCCCCACAGAGAACAAATGGCTGGTTAGTAATAGATGAGGGGCATCAGCTTACACTGAAGGATAAAAAGGCAGTCAAGCAGGGGATACACATCTGTCATCTGCTGTTCACACACACATACACACACACATACACACACACACACACAGGCCAGCTGGTAGAGTGTGACGTAACTAGTGACTATTGTTCCATGGCTCATGCATCTTTCTGTATTGCTAACCTGAGATGCACCTATAGAAAAGCTTCAGAAGGGTGAATAGGTAAAATTCTCTCTCACTCACCAACCAGAACTGTGATGGTGGAGGAAAAGCACAAGCAATCAGTCCATGTTTGTGGCTGGAAGCTAATAATAATTCACATCCCGGTCACTTGATTGACAACTTCTACTGGTTTGTCATGGGGAACCTGCACAGAGAGGTGGAGCTACAGGTATAGCATGAATGACCACACATTGTGACCTATAAAAGAAGTGGCGCTGACACGACTTAGTCTGTTAAAAACTAGATTAACATACAACAAATTGGCCTCAGCCAGTATGTTTTGAAGAGAAAATAATGCTGGCAATGGAAATGAAGGAATCTGCAAAATGTTTACTGTCAACATTGTGCATTTGTTTTCCTTACAGTACCCCAACCTGGCAATTAAAAGCAGTTTTACAGTTTATACAACTCAAATCACATGATTTGAGGGTGACATTGTTGTCTTTGTTAAGTGATACAACCCTGACGATAAATAGTTCAACATTTTTGGGGAATATGCTCATTTGTGTTCTTTCCAAGAGTTAGATAAATAGATCATTACAATTCTTGACTGTTCATGACTGTTCATTTAATACAAAGCTTATGTAGCTTAGCATAAAGAATTGACGCAGGATGAAACAGCTTGCCTGGCTCTCTCCAAAGTTCTAAACCGCAGTAATTAACGCATTGTGTCTTGTTTGTTTAATTCATACAAAACAGTAATCTAAAAATGTCAGTTTGGGGTTTTAGAGTGTGTTAAATGGTGTAGCTATTTCTTGACAAACACAGTTTATCCATCCGCCTAGCACTTCCATGCAGCATCTCCACTGGTTACTATGTTTCTGCACGTACCACTTGCTAAAAAACAAATCTGCATTTAAATAAAATCGCAGTCTACTCTTGCCAACATTTATTCATTTAAACCTGACAACATGTGAGACGTAGAAAAGGAAACCCAGTCATTGGTGTCAAAGTCCTGTGCTTTGTACACCTAACCATTATCCCCAACTTCTGCAGTGTAAGAATGATAAATGCTGCTGGATCCTGGATTGGGGAAAAAAAACATAATACGGTAATTGAAGGTAATTCCAACAGTCACGTTTTATAAAAAATTTATCTTAAACTGCAAATATAGCATGGTCAGGTTGCTAACAAGTTAGCAACAATAACAACTGCAGTGCATAGCGAGCTGGAAATCCCAATTTATGATGAACATGAAGGTTGTTTTCAAGCGTTAAGAAGTGGGATTTAAGAGTGGACATTAAAGACAATACTGGATATTATTGTAGGTGCAGATTGAACTTCTTAACTTGTCGTGCTGCCTGACGGGTTAACCCTCTCAGAATGCTTGAACAACTGCTTGTTGCTGATAAATGCAGAATCTATTGACTAACTATGAATATAGGTATAGTTTTAGCATATTTGTCAAACACTTCCTATACATTCCTACACAAAGTAATGTGTTTGGCTTGGTTTGTGGGTCAGTTTTAAATTAGCACTTCTATGAGCTTTTTCTTTGCCTCTTTCTCTGCATGACAAATTGAAAAACCAATCATTCATTTTCAGCACTATGATAAGCTAATTCAGAGCCCTAGGACAGTTTAATCTATACTTGGGAACATTCAATACCGTCTCCCTTAGCAAGAAACAAGACACAATACCAATGAATCCTGAGATAATCTATGATGTCACAGTTGTAATGCTTAATTATGGAGAGAAAGAGAGGGAGAGAGAGAGAGAGAGAGAGAGAGAGAAAGACAGAATGAGAGATAGAGAAAGTGTGATCATTGTTCCATGAAGTTTATTTTCTAGGTGAGCAGATATCCGTCTTCCAGCCTCCCTGTGGGATTTTTCCCAACCATCCTTGGGAGCTGTACAATAATGTCGCTCTGTCTGGTGAATGTGGGTGTTCTTGTATTTCTGTATCCTCGCAAGGACAGAAGGATAAAGGAGAATCCCTGAATGTCAATGCTGTTTTTTCCCACTGAATGTGACCATTTTAAGCCTCCAGCTTGGGTTAACATTATTTCTCCTTATAGTAATGTAAGTGCAGTTGGTGGCTGTGAAAAGCTTATAGATAAGCACATCCACATTTGTATACTGTACATGTAAACACAAACACCTCACAAAACATTTCTTTTTTGCTCCTATCGGCCCTTCTTTTTCAAAACTTCAAACCCTCTTACTGCATTTCATGTTTGACTCCCCACTCTCCCTTTTCTATTGGTCGCTGCCTTGCCTTGCTCAGAGGAGGTTAATTCTTATGTTTCATGAGTTTTTCCTTCTGCTTTTTCCTCCTTCCTATTTATCCCTTGGCTACCTTCCTTCTCCTCCTCTCTCCTTCCTGGTGGGATGTGGCTGTCACGAACTGCAGATTGGCAATATGAGGGTAAGAACGATCTCTTCTTTTTTTCCTCTGTTAAATGTGTTCAGTCACTGTGCTGGTTTATTAACCCCTGCTAACCCTGCAGATGGTTGTAGGGGGTTACGTCTGCCGTTACCTCTGAAAAATTGGGCATTAGTCTCACTTCACTGTCAAGTTTTGCCTCCCTTACTTCACCTCTTTTTCTTCTACATTTCATTCCAATTATAATATTCCTCTTTCCATTTCCTCTCACTGTAGAGAGAACAATGAGGTTAATGAGCTCTAGATTATATCTACCAAGCTTAACATTTATTTATGTGTATGTATTTTTTTTTTATTCTTTTCAGCATTTCCTAGCTATTGTTTTAACTGCTCTATGTTTAGTTTTTTTTACTTTTTCTATTTGTCTTTGTCTCTTCCTCTAAAGTGAGTGACTCCCTGTCCATCATAATTTTCTTCTGTCTGGACACTCCATTTTTTTTATACTTATTTCCGCTAACCCCTTACACCTCAGTCCTTTTCTCCACTCTTCCCCTTATTTTCACTGTCACTCCTTTCAGTTCTTTGCTGTTGCCACTCATAGCCACTCATATATAGATACAGTAGATAGAGTGCAATTCAATTTAAAAAAGACACTCTGACAGAGTGATTGCAGCAGCCACTTATTTTCCAGGTACAGAAACCCTAGGAGGTACCAATGTTAACTCTAAATCTTCCCTTTTTTTTTTTTTTTTTTTTTTCAGAATGTAAACTGTCTCGGTCGGGTCCTCCTGCTACCATTGTTGCCATAGATGAAGAAAGCCCCAACGGTAAAGTATTCATCTGTTTCACTTCTTCATTTTATGCGGATTTAAATCTACACTTTTGTTAGAAGTTTTTAAGATAAACACCACCTTTTACCGTATGTTAAACAAACAGTGTTACACCATCTTGACCTTTTCAGTAGATGCAGATTGGCATTGCATGTAACCTGCACTCATTAATATTCATTAGGTCCGTGCCAAACTGTGTCATAGTTTGGAGTCTGATCCCTGTCCCGGAAGATGAGACATTAGGTCATTCAGTCCGAGCTAAATGACTGTGTGAACAAGTTAGATTTGTATTTGTATTGCACCTTCTCATACAAAAGGAGTTCAAAGTGTGTTTCATAAGAACAAAATAAAATAGATGCACATAAAGACACCCATACAAATAAACAAAGTGTACAAATAGGATGACTTTAAAAGTGCCCCAGGCACATGGAGGAGTTTCCCACCTTGTGACCGGGGAGATGTTATGGGATTATAAACTGACAGCATGTCTGAAATGTACTGTTGAGCCAGATCAGCAAGTGCTTTGTAAACCAAGAGGTGGATTTAGAATTTTATTCTGAAAACAACAGATAACCAGTGAAGATTTTGGAGGACTAGAGTTATGGAAACAAAAAGATATGAGTGTCTTTATGCCTTGCTATGTGTGCATGTCTGTGTTACAAAATGTTGCCATTGGGGACCTATTATGCTCATTTCCAGCTCTATATTTTTTATCTGAGACTCCACCAGAGTAGCTTTGCATTAACATTGCTTTGTCCTCTTGCCGGTGTGCTCTTGGTGAAATGACTAAGCTTGGACAATACCAATATGGGCCACTGAATTTGATAATTTTACTGTTTTTCAAATTGATAGACAGTAGACAGTACGTTTGTTTATTCCATACCTGGAGTCTCTACTGGTTGCCTGGCTGCACCCAACAAAGAAACAGTTCCATACATAACCTGTAAATACAACAGTTCTTGTTTTTACACTCAGATGAAACAAACAAGACATAACACGTTAATCTGTGAGGTTTAGAGGTTCCGGAAGGACAGACCCAGGCTAGCTGTTTCCCCATTTCCAGTCTTTATGCTAGGCTACGCTAACTACAGCTGGCTGTAGCTCAATTTTAAAGTCAGATACAAGATATCAATATTCCCATCAAATTCTGAAGAAAGCAAGTAAGAATATAATAACAATGAATCCTGTAATATGAACTTGCATCATTAATTTCATTCTGAAGCAGACAAAGTGAGTTACATTTCGGTTCAAAACCATCTTTTGTTTTGGGGCCTGGGTTGTGATTTTGTCAGTAATTTTTCCAGTGATACAAATAATTGTATTTTTTTTTATGTAGCCCAGTTAATTATTTTGGCTTTTGAATCATTGATGTTGTGTGTCAAGTGGTTATTTTGCAAATACATTGTTTGAGATAGACAAAGATGACAGTGCCTGGACATTTGTTTGGCAAAAATTCCTAATTTGAGTATTTGAGGCAAAAGCTCTTCTCTTCTCTTCTCTTCTCTTCTCTTCTCTTCTCTTCTTTTCTCTTTTCTTCTCTTCTGCCACCTTGAGCCACCTGACTAAACAAAAATAAGGCTGCCAGAGCTTCACACTTTTTATCTGAACACCAAAAGAAATATCTTCAGTGTATTTTTGTTGAGTTGTGTCTTGAGTTAGCTCAAACTGTTTAAGACTTTCTCAGCTGATTAGTGGCTCCTGGTTTGATGGCTCTATAGACTGTACGGAGGCATATAAAGCACACAACCCTAGAGTCCCCTTTGGAGTGTGTTTTAGTTCAGGCTTTTGTTTGCATATGAAGTTCAGAGGAGGTTATTCATGGAGGGCTCATATTTTAATTGATAAGTTAAACCTTACTTTGGTCACAAGCAAATTAAGGCTTACATTGGCCTCAATGAAGGCCACTAAATCTAATATGGGAAGGTGAAATGTAGACAAACAAGTTGGTCTGTGTGGGTAAATCACCCTCTTATCTCCAGCCTATAGATTATAGTTCAGAAACCTGTCATAATGTTTGCCATGTCTGCTTTTCAACAAAGTTTTAAATAGTGAGACCTGATCACTGTAATCCTAACTGACATAAAGAGAGATTAGCATAGCAGCACCAGACAGAGAGGAGAGCGGCGCCTTCCATCTAGCTGGCATGTCTATATCTGTTGATGGCTTAATGCATCCTATTAAGTTACCCATCCTCTTATTTTGCCTATTTTCTATTTTTACTGTGTACTTCTATATCCTTAATTCAGAACAGTGTTCACTGGGTATGCACATCAGCCTCCGAGTGATGAATGATTTTTTTTTTTTTTGTATGTGTTTGTTCAAAGTGAATCTCTTATATAAATGCAATATGCATTATGTTATATGCAGTGTTGCACATCTACTTCTCTCTGAAGCGGGTCAAAACCATTTAAGAAGATCTTCAAAAATAGAAAAAGAAATTAAAGTGTGTGAATGCTATTTCCACAATTTCTACATAGTCACATTGTTATGAAATTTGGCATCATACTTTCCAAATCAGTAGTAGTCTAGTAGTCTAATAAAAAATACAAATGCTGTGTAAATTGTTGTTTTACTAATACACTAACCTGGGTTAAAATGACAATTAGTTCTTGTTTATTGAGACCTCAGACTATGAAGTGTGATAGATAGATATTGTATCTGTATAATGTACATCTTCAGTAAAAAAAGAGCAATGTCCTAATATTTGATTTTCAATTCTAGATTCTTTTCTGACTAATTTTGAGTGTAAAATGTGTACATTGAATAGTTTTTAGCTTTTAGCATTTTTTCTGCCTGCTTTGTCTGCAAGTCATACTCTCTGCAGGTAGGCTGCAGTTACAAGCTCTACTTATCAGAGGTATGAGGTATCAAACTGAAACTGTGAACGTGAATGGGACAGTGAAGGGTCATTTTGTATTGACATAGTTTTTCAGCTGAAATAGTTAGCCTTGCACACTGGTTAGAGCTGTGCTCTGAAAAAAAAATCTTATCTTACTTCTTACTTTGGTTATTTGTGTTCATAAAGCAATATTTCTGCTTGTAAATTTGCATTTAATTGAGTGTTTTGAAATGAGATGATGTTAAAAGCTCTGGCAGCTACAATGTGTGCTAACATGGCTATGCGTGTGCATGTATATGTGTGCGCGCATCCTATTGTCTAATATGTGCATTTGTGCTGATGGGTTCATTGTGTACATGCTATATGTACGTGTGTGTTTGTGCCTGTTTGTGCAGTAATCTTCCTAACAGGGCTGTTGAAGAATAATTTAGTATTGGAATGGTTTGTATGCATAATGCCATGTATTGCTCTGTGGCTGTGAAATAGTGTTACAGATTTAATAGAGAATCTCGCTTTAGGGTGATTATCTTGGGTTGGTGTTGGCAAAAGGGAGAGAGACTCGAGGAAAGAGGAGAGGCGGAGGAGGGGAGAAGAGGAGGAAAAGAGTAACAAGATACAAGTTAGGGAATTTTTCCTCAGGGAAATGTCATAAAAGGACATAATACTGAAATTAGGGTTGTGATTTTAATAATATCAAGTAAAACGGTGATTAGAATGAGTGGATAGGTGTAGGAGTGGGACAGACACACAAACATGCATGAACATAGCGACACACACAAAGACGTCTAACATCGGTATCTCAGCTTTGGGTCTTCACAATAACATACACAATACAATACCATTCCCCTGATGCATTAAATGTATCATTTAGCTGATAATACATGCTACATCAGCACACCAAATTGCATGTAATAGTATACAATCGGCTTCGCGTACTGCTCTAACAATATTAGTCTACTGCTGTAAATATACTCTGCTAATGTAGCTTGACCAGTGATAATGCTGTAGGGGTCCCGGAGGCAAATAAAATAGTTATTATCCCATACATGGGTAGAAAAGTGTCCCAGCTGTTATTTCCAGCAGCAAACTATAGTAGTTGTTTTACTATCTCCAGTACATATTAAGGTTCAGGTCATTGTTGAAACACACAAACAACAATCACATTTGAGTCATCATCATATTCTAATGACACATGTGCTTGAATAAACAGAAAATCTAGAATCTGGTCACGAAGATTAATTATGACTGTCAAGTACCTTTACTGCAGTTTTCAGATTAAATTAAAATCATGACTGCCCTTGGCCTGCCTAAAAAAAATTCATTTTCAACATACAGTGTACATATTTTAATTTAGTTTGGTGGATGTGCCTGGCTAAATATTCCTGTCCTCTGATTGGAGATGAACCTCAGTGTTGTTTAGCCAATGGAAACCCTAGATGGGTCATCAGTAGAGAGGTAATGATACACTAAACTCACGATTTGATACTGGGTTCACAACATGATTTTCTCACTATTAACGAAATTAGATTCCTTGGTTTCTCAGACAAAAATCATTTCATTTTCTTACTCCAATGTTAAATAGATTATATGATTCTAATTAATTTAACTGCCTCGCAATATATCTTCACATTCCTAGTTTTGAGTAAGCCTCCACTGTGTGTTGTGTGAACACAAAACATGAGTTAACTTTCTCTCATGCCAGGTAAAATGTAGACTAAATCTATAATGCTTGTGTGCTGTAAGAAGATGTGTGCCTGTTTAATGCCACCCAGATCGGATATCAGTAGCAAGAGTGTGGACATCATTAGACATCTTTTATCTCTGTGTCTCATTTTCTGTCCAATAACAGATTTTTGGCCAAAGTTATGAATGCAACACTGACATATTATCACCTTTCAAGTTGATGTGGTAACCTTGTTAGCAAAGTGTTAAACATTGAAAAGACACAGTGCAACATTAGCATTCATTTGGAGTCGTATTTCTGGCCACCTTTTGAATATTCCCAAATTTTTTGCTCTTGTTTTGGTCTCCGCCAACTCTTATATCTGTCTTGTTGGCTACCAAATGCTCCACATTTTTCACCAGCTAGCAAAATAAAATAAAAAAATAAAGGTTGGAACTAAGTTTGCTGTTTGGTGCTGACTAAAGAACAGTGTGATTTTAGGAGCCTTTTTTTTTTTACTGAAAACAGTGACTAGTCAGAGTGAACACATATAGTGAAGCTGCAGGCCAGAAAAGCAAAACAATAAGCTGAAAGTCGCTTTAAAGCTCGGTAGAGCTGAGGGAAACTGCAAACGGGTGATAATTGTTTCAGGGTTTATCAGTTTGAGTAACCCCTTTCTCATATAAGTAGCCACATGAGCCATTGTTAATATAAAAAACGTATTGATTACAGCTGCTTCATACAAATCATGAATACATTTTTGTGACAAAAGTATGTCACGTCAAATGGTAGTTTACATTCACTGCCTCTGTACCAAACATACACTTGTACTTGCTTTGAATCCCTCTTTCATCCCCCCACCAAGAGCTGCAGGTACATGTGATGATTACTTTTCAGTCCATGGCTCGTGCCTGGCCGACACCCCAGCACATTCAGTTAAGCTAATGTCCTGTAAAAATTCTATTAATGCACTGCCACAATGCTCATTTTCTCCTAATATTCTCTTTACTCTTTATTTCTATCAGCCTCTCATTCAACCCAATCTTTCTCACCTCACTGTCCTCTGCTATCTTTCTCATTTCTCTTGCCCTCTAATTGCTCTTTGTACTTCTTCTTGGACAGTTCCTTGTCTCTGCTCTCTCTGTGTTGCTGCACACACACACACACACACACACACACACACACACACACACACACACACACACACACTCATGGCTTCACGTGGTTCTGCCTGTCTGCTTTAACACATAGGTCAATTTAATCAGGTGCTGCTGAGTGCAGTATTCAGTCACACGTCCTGTGAAGTGAGGTCACTGTGAAAAGAGCCCATTTATATTAGACGGTCTATGGAATTACATTGGAAACACAAGGTGTAAGCACTGTCTGTCTCTTTCATCTTTGCCTGTACTTGTGGTCTTCTCATTGTGGAAGACAGAAGCAGGAAACCAGAAGAGATATAGCCCAGAGATGGCAAGGAATGAAACTCCCCTAATGAATTCCATTTTCTATCCCATTTCTCATATAAAGAAACCAATTTCACTAAATTTCCCCGTTTATTTAACATCAGCGAATCACAGCAAGGCATTTGACACGGTTTCCATGGTAGCACAGAAGGCCATGACCCAATTTTAGGTCTGGCAGATCAGATATGAGATCGTTCAGTGCGCGTGTGTTTATGTTGTTGAATGTGTGTGCGTGCATGTGGAGGGAAAGTATGAAGTTCTCTAGCATGCACGCATAAACAACACACACACACACACAATCCTGCTTGCCTCCTCAACTTTTTTTTAAATCTCTTATCTCACTCTCTGTCTATTGCTCTACCTCTACCTTACCTTACAATGTAATGTTGTATGCAACAAACACACATGCACACACAGTTGTTATTTTTGATTAATAATGCAGTGTGTAGGACCTGGTAATGGGTCTCCTATGATTTGGAGCTACACAGAGTCAAGTGGATAAACGTTTTGCTTCTCTACTTCTTAGCGCAATAAAATGACTCTTGACAGGTAATGTTAATGTGTATTTTTATGCTGCACATTGGTTTATGCAACTGATTAAATACACAAATTGGCATGAACACTTCACCAAGTTTATATTCAAATTCTGATATTAAATAAACTCACACCAAAATCTCCTGTGTGGGAGTTTTAATGTTGAGATATTAATGCAAACAGTTTGAAAACTGTGAAGTTTGGCAGCAGTGCTCTGTTTTTATTGACACTGTCAATCATCAATAAAGTCAGGACGTTTCTATGAAACGTAGATGTCTACCTGATTCTCTATCTCCCTCTTCTTTCATCTTGTGAAACTGCCCTCTCTGACCCTCTGCCCTTTGCTATCTACTTTTTCCTGGCTTTGTGTTGATTGAGATATAATATGCATCAACTGAAAATATAGAGCTGACAGTTTCCATTAAAATCATGTCTTGTCTCCCTGTTTGTATTTCTTTGACTATCTCTCTCTCTCTGTCTTTCAATATTCCTCTCATTCCCAAATCTCTTCGCCGCCCACAGTTGACTGTGTTAAATGAATGAAGTTGTATTCCATCTGTGCAGACTGTCCTATTAAAATGTTTACTTGTATTTATTTTTCGGGGGTTTTTTTGTATTGAAAAATCATGCAGATGAAAGTGTTGAAGTCATTCATTAGCTGTATTCCGCCAGACCAGATTTCTCCCTCGCTCTGAAATGTTGATTTTATTTTGTGTTCCAGTTGGTCTTAAGTATTTCAGGTACTGGTAGAAGGCAAACAAAGTAGCCCCCATATCTGATCTGCCTTGTAGCCTTGATTAAATTTCCTCATGCTTTGTACTCGGAGTCTCCTTCTCTTTCTGTTTGTGTGCTTCTCCATCTCATTGCCTTTGACCTTGGCTACAACCTAAATATGATTTCGAGGTATATAATTTATAGAGTACATGAAGAAAAGCAGAGTTGGACTGTCTCTGTTTCTTTCACTAATTAAGTTCGATCTGGACCATTTCTCTGCAGAAGTTATTTGAAATATACTCTATTTCCAGGAACTCTGGACTTTGTGTCTCTCTCTCTCTTTGCCTGTTGGGTTAATACATGGGTTTGTATTGTATTCCCAGGAACGTTATTGGTGGAGAACATGCAGATAAATGGCGTGGCTGAGGGTCCAGATCGTACCATCTCTCTGTCTCTAAGGGATAACTACGACCATTGGGTGATCCTTGACCCTTCCAAACAAGCCCTTTACCTCAACAGCACTGGACGGGTTCTGGATAGAGATGTAAGGCAACTCAACAGTTTTATTTTAGTCTATATATTCTATATAAGAGTTCTTTTTTTAAAAATGTTTTGATCTTACATTGCCTCATTCTGCACTGTGTATTTTGCTCTTGCTGTTTCTTTGGTCCTAGTTTCTCTTTTTCACTTGACTACAGAGGATAAATATGGCGAAAGCCAATTTTCACAGCTCTCTGACTTTTTCCAGCATTTGCTGTTTTGTGAAAGTTTTAGCTCCATCTCAACTGGAAAACAACCAGCCTCCTGCTGTTTTGGTCTGTTAAGTAATCCAGCAGATGTTCTTGAAAGTCTGATTTGGCACAAAAAAGTACTATAAAATAATACAAGAAACTGGCAGTCATCTGTGAAATAGGTTTTATTTATGTTTTATTTTATGGTTAATTATTTATTGGTACTGTACAGTTGTAGCTTTTAACCACATATTTTTTCTCCCCCCCCTTTCCAGCCCCCCTCATATATTCAGTCCATTGTGGTTCAGGTTCAGTGTACCAATGAGCTGGTAGGCACTGTGATTTTACATGAAGTGCGCATCGTTGTTCGAGACCGCAACGACAACGCACCTAGTTTCCAACAGCCAAGATACTATGTCGCCGTCAGTGAGGTAAAACACACCTACACACCCACACACCCACACACACACACATACAGTGACACACATAAACATACACAACCCCAGAGATGCAGTGAAGTCCAAAAAAATTCCATAAAACTCAGTGTGGTGGAAATAATTTACTGTCTTTCACCTAAATCAAGAGCAATTTATTGCACTTATCCTGCAGTGCTGCCATCTTTCATGGTGGCATGTACAGGACTCATGGGGCTGATGAGACCAGAGGGGGGGAAAGAGCTACAGTCCAGTCCAACATAAGTACAATAGATCAGGTGTACTGTACCAAGCCATTCCCATGGTGCTCTGCGGGTCATGAATGGCGCTTAATAATTCCAGCCGTAGAGGCTGTAGCAATGACCTGCACTCAGAAAATGTAGCCTGGCATAGGTGCACACTGCAATGTATTTTGAATAAAACCCTTCACCAAATAGTATTGTACATGGCATTTTGCTGTCAGACTAAAGCTGAAGGGGCAGTACTATAAGCAGGGAAAAAACAGAGATTTTGGGCAGCTGAGGAAAGGATCTAAATCTGTTTTTCAGAGGCTTCCAGAATAGTCTTTGAGATGCCAATCCCACAGTTAGTGTGTCCTCCGAAGCAGAATTTAACTAGAGGAGGTTCAAACTTAAACTGGACAAGGATACATGTAGCCTGCTGCCAGCATAGACCTAGACGTACCCAGTAGAATATCTCATTATACAGTCCTCCACAGCCTGTCCAACTCAATCTATCTTCTCAACCTCTCTCTTTCTCTCTTGGCCTCTCCAATCCGTTTTTGCAGCCCTCCCTCCCCTCTTTCCCACTCCCCGTGCCCCCTCACCACTCCCAGCTCTTCATTATGTCACCTTTCCTCAACCTCTCCACCTTTCCTCTGCCACACTCTATATATTTCTGGTTGTCTTTCCTCCTCCTCCGCCCCTCCACCTCTTACAGCTCTCCAGTTTCTCATTACTCCTACAGAAATAATTCCCTCAGTTCACTTCAACGACCACCATACAATTTAGGAGATGCATCGTAAAAAACTCTAAAATATGATTCCTGTGCCAGGCCAAGGTAAATGTGGCCGTAATAATTTTAAAAAACTGAATACATTTATTCTGATGTGGGCAATAATTAACATTTGAGTGCAAGTCTGGACATTAGGCAGACAGCTATTGTCTAATTCACTTCTGTTGCCCCCAGAACTCCAACCAACTAGTGCAGTAAATTTAATATTGAGAGAAAGACTACGGAGTTCATCCAGCTTTATATACATTAAACCTCCTTTTAGTTGTCTATTACTTACAATTATTGAGTGCAAGAAATTGAGGCAGACAGATTAAGAGAGGCAATATGGTTATTTATAAGAACGTCTAGGACACAATTTATGAGTTCACTGTGAAAGTTTCTGGGGACAAGGTGATCCTCGTGGCTGATTTCATGAGTTGGCACTGGTGCTGGAGTGTGGAGTTGTTTCATTAGAGCTGTATCCAAAAGTGGCAAACTGACAGCATGAGATGTTCTGAAGACCATTGTTGGATCAGTGGGAGGCAGAGATAACCCTGTTGAGGGAAATGATGTAACAAATCATTGGTGCAGTAGCTAAATTAAACTTAATCTCAAATGTTTCTCGTGCTGTCTGGAGATTAGACTTCGGTTTGACACATAATCACAGAAAATATAGCACGGCAATTTATGGCTGGCAAAGTTCTTCCTTTCATGTGCTGTGGCAAGTGTTCAACTCTCAAGGTTAGGAATTTCTCTCAGAAAAACCAACAGAATATCTTCCTGAAAATCTAGCTCCACATTTCTCTGCTAGAAAGTTATCTTGTTGCACAGTGCGATGAAAATTAAAGTGAATTTTACAGTGCAAACGACAGCCAAATCATAAATACTTGCATTTGCACACAAATGACAAGTTATTGTACACAAAGGCCACTATTGGGTTTATTTACAGTTTATATGTACGTTTTAGGCCACTGACTTCACAGTGATGTATGTATACTATGCATACTATACACACTGCTAGCTACTTTCCAAAGAATATCATATTTTTTTTAGATTGCAGAATGTGGTTTTCTACCCTGAAAGGGAGAGAACAGTGTAGTAACGGAAGTAGTAGCAAATACTGCTTAATGAGCATTATGACCCTGTTACGTATAGCCGTCCAACTCTACCAGAACAGCACATCCAGACTGGGAACAAACGTGGCTTACAAGAGGCCGGTTTGAAGACAGGGAATAGAGTACAGAGGTGGCCATAAAATATGATTCAGTTTTACCTAAATCAGTGATAAAATTGTGTTTGTTTACAGTAATCAGTGAGGCCCAGCTCTGTGTCACTTAAAGTTAAAGATTGTTTGTTAGATGGATGTCATGATATTATTGGTTGAAATACGTTGGTTCAAGCTTATCCAAGCACATGTCACATTTTAATTTTAATGCTACAGTCACTGCTGCTAGATATGTGTAGCTAGTGTAACATCAGTTAGCTAATCAGCTACAGCAGCCACTATAGCGTAAGTTAGTGCATTGCCAGATGCTAGTTCTCTGTTAGTTGCAAGTTTATTAGTGTTTAGTTAGTTAGAAACTGTTCGGCATATAAAAATGAACATGAACATGGTGAAAAAAATTTAATTTGACAGTTCCTTGCATTAAAAAAATGCTCTTCAACAGCTGCTATGTGCAGCTCACTCCTCAGTTCCTCATATGGTTGATCATTGCTGTAATCTGTGACACTGATTCATTGTTTCATGGGTAGGCTATTAGGGTCCAATCTGTTTCTGTTTTTATTAGTATTATTATTCACTGAAAGACCGAAATAAAGATAAAGGTACCTTCACTTTCCAATCTTAAAATGCCTTACATCATTTTCTACCACCTAATGTCCCACGTTCAGATAAACGTTTGCATTCGATGGGGCAATGAGGTGTAGCAAACATTCACAGGAGTGACAAGGAGAAATACTAAGACACAGACAGACAGAAAGTTCGACAAACCATGCTGCCTGTGTTTTTATTTCCAGAGCAAATTAAAGCACACAAACAGCTGCAAGCTGATCTTCCTTCTCAAGCCCCATTTGAGCACAATAAACATAAAACTGCAAATCATTTTCTGTTTGTTTTGTAGAGACAGTGGGGTATCAAAATCCCTTATGGCCAGACGCATGTGAAGAGTTTTTTAATGTGTCCCTCCCTCATCTCTGGCAGTATATGTTTGCATAACACTGTCAGGAAGACAAGACACAACAGTAGGCCTATAGGACAGAAGCTGTTTGATGTCAGTGGTACAGAGAATGGAAGTGTTTAAGTGTTTGACATCATGTCGTGTGAGCTTGTAGACAAAGATACTGAAATTCTCTGTCTCTGTTGTGTTTTCAGCTGACACCAGTAGGAACCACTATTTTCTCTGGTTTCTGGGGGAACAATGGTGCAACAGACATTGATGACGGTCCCAACGGACAGATAGAGTACACCATCCAGTACAACCCCAAAGACCCGGTAGGTTATCTCTTCCAAGTAGGAGAACCACAGTTCTTTACAGATATCCATCAATGTTATCAGACATCGGCATTTTTAGCGACTGAATTCAACACATTAGAGAATGGAGAGACTAAGGGCCAAACATTTTAACATTTGTAACATCTATCAGTGTGAGATCACGGTCCTTTCCAGAAGTATGGATGCCCTTCAGCTGGAGAGCCAGGAGCTAAACCACGATTACAGAACTCTGATCTCAGCTGAGCAGATGGACCAAGAGGCCATGGTCCTGGAAATTAAGAAGCAATTAAGAAAGTCATGTACGCCCATGAGCTGAGTAGAGAAAGGGTGGCTGGCCCCCTTAACAGTGGAGGAACTTCTTCAACGACTTCAGAAGGCAAGAACACAGAAAAACTAGAGGCTGTGGAGATTGCTGAGGCTCTTTTCCACAAATTGGAAGACATGCAGAAGGTCTCAGAGGAGCATTCAGCTGCATTTAGCTGAGCTCAAAAAAAGGACATGAGGAACCAGGCAGGGACGGAAAGCCTCAAGGACTTTGAGATGGATGAGTTTTTTTTACAAAGAGTTCAACCAACAGCTCCAGAGAAAGAAGAAACGGAGGGCGGAGGCAGAGAGGAGCAAACTGGAGGCCATTAAAATCGGAGAGGCCACTTTTCCAAAGATTGGAGGAGGCCCCCACCCTCACATAGAGCCAGATGCTAACTGAAAACTGTAGAGGAGGAAAAGAAACAGGAGGCTCTTGTTGAAGACATCGTGTGCTGAGTGAAGAAACGGTTTTGAGGATCCAGGCAGAGACCTACGAACTGGGGGCCATTGAGCCTGTGGAGGCTCTCCAACAGAGGACTGAAGAGCAGAGAAGGAAGTCCTCTGCCAGGCCAAGGACTTCCTGCTGAAGCTGATGGAGAAGAGCTGCCTAGTGAGAACCAATCAGCCCTCTATCAGCCGAAAACACACGTGTATCACTCCTTTCAAAAAAACAAAAGATATGGCATGAAATAATGTATTATCAGTAGAGTTTTATTTTTGCAGGGAAGTATATTACAACTGGTGCTACTGGTAACATGCATCAAAGCAGAGACGGACTGTTGGAGACAAAATACAGCTGTTGTGTTTGATACAGTGTTTTTAATATTGTACATTCATAAATATGGGTACCATTGCCATTTTATGTTTGAAAATGTACCCTTCTCTCTCCTACGCAATCTTACTCAGAAGTTAAAAGAAAACTAGCCTAGTTATACCCAATCTGCCTCGAGAACAAGGTCAAGAGAGGGGTGTTTCCGGCTCTTCTTAGTCATCTTGTCTTCTTTAAACATAAATCCATTTGAAACCAGTTACCAACAAGCATATCTCTAGAAATTGAGACACCTTTATGGGTATGTGATTGGCTAAAAGGTGTAGGGCTGTATGAAATAAAACTTGACATGAAATGTGTAATCAGGAACACGCCATCATTACATAAAAAAAATGCCCATAATTAAATAATAAAGCAATAAAATCCAGGTATTAGGAAAATAACATTTCATGGTGAGTTTGAATAATTTCTTCAATTATTTCACCAACAGTTTTTACATGGTTTATTGATATACATACATATCTTTATTTATTTAATATTGAACATGTTTGGGTTCCAAATGATAATATCATTGTTATATTGTGAAAGCACCAACATTTTTTGCCTTCAAGTATCTGTACAAATATTTTGAGCAGGATCTGAATCTCAGCTCTCTCTCTGCTTACTTGTGCTCTCATTGCTTTGCTTTATAATAGACTCCTAATTACATCTTTTTTGTTTGTTGTTTAAATATTACCAGTGTCATAGGAATGCATCATATTTTAGCTGTGAATACTTCTCTACTCATTGTAGCCCGGCATTAAATTGAAACCATATTCTTGGCAGGCTGACAGAGGAACACAGTCACTTTTACCACAATATTATTACTGCTGTAGCTTCTACTCCTCCCACTACTATTACATGTCTAAGCTCATCTAAACTCCAAAATAAGTGAAAAATTAACTACAAGCCCTGTAAGTGACTCACTGTGTTTGTGCTTGGAATGTATTTGTGTGTGTTTCAGACAACAAACAGAACCTTTGACATCCCACTGACACTGTTTGGCTCCGTAGTTCTCAGAGAAAGACTCAACTATGAGGAGATAACACGGTACCTGGTCATCATACAGGCAAATGTAAGTGCTCTTTGTTGTTATATTTATGTGTCTGTCTGTCTGCACTTCCCTATGCAGCTATCAAAGACCAGTTCTGAGTATGATATCATATTTTTTCATATAATATTAAACGCTGAAAATTTTGAAAGGTGAGGTTTTCAGCTGAAACCGTTACAAAGCATGTCTGGAGAAAAGAACAACTTCCTCCTGACTCAGTGGGAGTATAGTCAGGCTGGAGTGTGTTTATGTAATTTTTAATATCATGGTAATACAGCCTTGAATAATTTCTGTTCTGTTGTCAGATTTAAGAGAACTATAAGCACACTCTTAATTATCACTAATGTCTTAATTAATTAAGACTAATTTAATTGTTATCCTCTTTTTCCCCACAGCACTCTGTATGTTGTATTTATAAAAAATGGTCTTCCAAATAGTTAATTTTGGTCAAAACACAAAACAGACCCATGGACAACGGAGGTAGTTTGAAGGTTCTAAACTGAAGCGTGACAGAAAATTGTTTAAGTTGCTGATTGCGCCATTAAGGTTTTTGTTTTGACAAGAAAACCTTGCTTACAAAACCTTTAGTTCTCAACAAAGAATTCCGACAAATATTCATATGTCTCAAGGCCCATTTACCCTGAAAGCATTATTAAAAGTCAACAGTATACTGAAAGATTAATGTGTTTTTGACTGCTTGAAAGCCTCACGTATTAACCGTTCATGTGAATGCAATATTAAGAGTGTTTTGAGTGGCTGTGAATTTGCTGAATATAAATTCGTAGCAAATACTTAGAGACCATGTGCAACCAAGGAAAAAAAGTTCCTTTGGAGTAAGGCTGACCTTTTCAGAGGTACTGTGAGAAAAAATTAAGCAGTGATTGAATGAGTAACATAAATGTATAACCTTATTTAAATGATTTATCCAAATAACAGAATGGTGATATCCAATAACTGTATATTTGTAATATAACAATATTATGTCTTGACTTGTCTTAAAAATTGATACGTTTGTTATTATTTCTGATAGCTTCAGTGACAATATTTGGAGATAAAATAATTTTAAGCCTACAGTGAGGGTAGAGTGTGAGTAATTGCTGAATAAAAAATACAATAGCGCCTGTGTTATTTACTGCTACTGCAGAGGCTGTTCTCTGCTGTCACCATCTAGTTTACATTTCCTCAGTTATTTTGCAATGCAGTAGCCTATATAATTAGATTCTTTATGGTGTCAGTTGTTGCTTGAAATTAACTGCTGTCAGCCCAGAAAAAACATGCATGTTACAATAAAGTGTGTGAGGCACCATGTTTTTAAAAGATTATTTCCTGGCTTTTCTTTAACTGTCAGGTGATTGGCACTAAGGAGAACATAATGTAATGCAGTGATTGAGTAACACTCAATTTAGGTGTAATTAAATAAGAGTAAAACTTGACGGTTAACAAAACCTAATTAAGGTTTTATCTTGTTTGGCCAATTTTCAAGTTTGTAGAACACAAAACGAGTTTAATGGGAAGAGGGAAAGTGCTTGATATTTTCTTCATATGTTTTTTTTTTTTTAAGTAAAGGGTGAGCATGTGATAGGTGCATTGATTATTCAGTAGCAGAAAGTTTGGGCTCCTGTAGATTCATCTGGCTATTTTGTTCTGAGAGCTTTACAAAACAATACAAAAACTGGTTTGTGTATATCTTAATTATCTTGAAAGAAAACTGAAAACACAGCAGTTATATTGACCATTCAGATGAATAGGACTGTTACATTTTTCCTGTGAATTTGCTGAGCAGCTATTTGTAAGTAATTGTGATGGTGGATACTTCAACATAAGCAGACTAACGAGTAAACAAATGTGTACACAAAGGAATGATTGCACATGTCTAAGCAGAAATAAAAGTTTGTGAATAGCTTTACTTTCAGTGTCTGACTAGGACTTTGATTCTTTCTTTCTCTAGTTGTTTTGATATTTTACCAGAGCCTCACTGAAACCCTGCTATTTCAGTTTAAGGTCTCTTGAAGGTCTTTCTCAAGATAAAAGTGTGTAAGCCCATCCATTTTTCATTGTGTGTATCAACATGCATACATATATTTTTTTTGTATGGTATGGTTTCTTCAAAAGTCTGAGACCTTGATATAATTCAGATATTTCCACTGGAATGTATTACTTAGATTAAATGTCTTTTTTTTCAGAATAAATGTGATAGGCCAATAGCTTATCAATAATAGTTTTAGAAAAATATAAAAAATATATCTACAGGCGCTACGGGCCGACTTCCATGGAGTCTGTCATGTTGAACCAACATGTTTCTACAATAGCCCAGGAGGGACAAACCAAACACTGGCTCTTGATAAGGGTGTGTTTTTCGTGTGTTTCGCAGCCACCATAGTTTCTCTCAGGCAAATATTTCATCCCTAGAAGACAGTAAACACCTTTGAGATCAAGAAGAAATTGTGATATTTGGCTAACTTGTTTTTAATAAATTTGCCATTGAGGGAAAGAAAATGGTTTAGTAGCCTACTTGAACCAGTTATAAATGCATTAGAAGTCTGTTTATTTGCTCTTGATGAGGTATAAATAGATGAAGACAGTAAGTTAAGTAGACACCAGCCTTTGAAGGCATTGAGAGATCCCTGCAGCTTTGATTTTTTTGCAAAATATTCAGCGGGACTGCGCTGTAGTCGTTTTCTGTTCAAGACATGAAGATAAGGATATGCAAATATCTAAATAAGAAAGTGCAATATCATCCAAAAATAAAATAAAAAAGCTCTCTCTCTCTCTCCTCCTAGGATCGAGCCCCCTATCCGAGTGAGCGCCGTACAGCTACCACCACTCTAACAGTGGATGTACTGGATGGTGACGACTTGGGTCCCATGTTTCTACCTTGTACACTTGTGGGAAACACCCGCGACTGTAGTCCCATCACGTATAGGGCTAATGTGCTGGAGCTGACCGAGCCGGTAAGTGTGTGCCTGTTATGTACCTATACTGTATCACATTTGTGTGTGTGGTGCAGAGGGCATGTTTCTATCTGTATCTGTGCGATCAGCCTATACAATGGTAGTATATGTGTGCTTGCGTGCATGCTGTGTTCAGTTTTATGCTTACATTTAGTACACTTTTGTGACCTGAGATAGTTTTGGCAGTCTTGACTATTTTATGCTTAGATTAAGGTTAATAGTGAGAGCTAATCTCTTAGGACTCATCCTCACAATTTTGTACGCTTTTCCCTATTTATACATACCCATATTTAACTATTTATAATTCTAGGCCTTGAAGAACAGATGCCGCTCCTGTGTATCTACTGACTTTAGTAATTCCACATTATGTCAAATAATAAGTCGGTCCCTTGAAATCCAGTGAAATTAAATTATTTTAGCCGGTTACAAATGGCTTTGAAATTTGACAGTGGAAATCAACAAACTTTGTTCTAGTACCTCTTATAACAACATACTCCGTGGTTAGAAATTAGACATTGTTTGGCCATGGATATTTGTTTTTTCAAACCACTGTGCTTTCAAACATGATTTCCTTCAATGTCACGCCTGCAGTGAAGATAAAAATATCAAACATTTATTTCTTCAATTTGACATTTAAAACTAGTTGTTAAGTAATGAGAACAAAGGCCATAATCATTCATGTCTCAGAAATATGCACTCCTGCCCTCTATGTGAACACAGAAAGTAATTAAGATTTCATAAGCAGTTAGCATAATTTAAAACAAGAACACTGTCATTTTAATGCTAAGAAGGTGTTAGTCACATAATGTGGCCTGTAGAGTTGAAAGAATAGATTTATACTATTGCGTCCACACAGATGATGTAACAGTTTTTTTAATGAAAAAGGTGTTAAAAGATCTATACTGTTTGACCATGTCACTTTAATTGTGAGTCACAAAATTATATTGTTCAATTCTGTAATTAAGGGGAAAGCAAGTGTATTTAATGACCCTAAGAGACTGTTTCAGACAAAAAAGTTGAAGTTATTCAATGTTATTATTGACAAATTGTACTGCAAATCTCTTGCGTAGTGTTGTTTAAATGTGAGTCTTCAATACCGTGGTCTGTGTTTATGCTTACACAGCTGTATATATCATTTTGCATTTGTATCTTGGGCATTTAGCTGATGCTGTTATCCAGAGCGACTTACAATACCACTTTGTAAATGAGACAAAGTTGCTGCAGGCAAAATCCTCAACTCTGACAAGTCAGCAGAGCATTCATCCCTTACTACACACAGGCGCACATACACACACACCCTTGATGGTGACAAGCTAGCAGTGCGTTCATGCCTTAACACCCCCCCCCCCACATCGACCTACACACACATACCCTTAACAGTGTCAAGCCAGTAGAGCAGTCATGCCTAACTGGACATTGTCTACTTCATCTCTTTGTTTATACTGAGATCTTCGTTTTAAATCGTCACATGTGCACACACACACACACACACACACACACACAAACACGTGCTTACGCATGCACACATATGCTCACTTTACTCCAGACACACTGAAGGATCTCTTTCTCTGCCTTCAAGCCTCTCTCTCTCATTCTTATCTCTCCTCCCTCACACATACACTCTCACAGACATGGACACAGCCAGGAACAATAGGAGTAAATCAACTTTACACCTTGTGGTTTTGCGAAGGAGCAAGTGTACGGAGACAAGGACAGGGTTTACGATGTATAGGTGGTGTTGGGATGATGTGAAGGGGGGGATCAAACAGGGAGGAAGAGATGGGTTAAGGCAGACAAACAGAAAAGTTATGCTGGGAAAATACTTGAGGGGTTTTAAAATCTGAAGCGATACTTGAAACACGTTGCATCAAACACGAAGACTGTTTCTCACTTGTCAATTTGCTCCCAAAACACACAACAGCTGACTCCAGATGCTTCACTGATTTCAGTATTTATAATCTTACAACTCAGACAGCACTAAAGAAAAATGGGATCATTCAGACAAGCGGAGGTTGCTTTCCTTCTCCTTTATATTGGTAATTTTCATTCTTTGAATGAGACTGTGATCCCTGTTCCTTACAGGAGTTGGGACCTTTGCAGTAGCCATATTTACATGTCATAGCTGGAAAGTAGTTTTTCCAGTGACAGGGTCCTTGCATTGTACATGTTGGTTCACTGGCATCGTTAATGTTATGAGTAACACCTGTGCTTCTTATGCTATCACAAAATATCTGCAGTGAAAAAGGTCTGTTAGCAAAATCTGGGCAATCCATTGATTCTGACCAAGTCTAATTTTTTTATGTGTGTGTAGGTCGATTTGGTTTTTTTTCTAAAAAAGTTTTTCCCTGCTGTCAATCCTAATTATTCTTCATGAATCTGAAACAATGTTAGTTGATGTTCTCTAATTTATTATTAATTTAATTTAAATTAAAGGGGCACTGCTCCCATACATGGACTTCAGTTTACTGGACAGAGTACTGCACTGCCTGTGAAAACATGTGTATGTCTTGTGAAGCTCTAAATTGGATCTTTCCAAAGTTGAAAAAAAGTTCCAAAAAAATTTGCCAAAATGTTGGATTGGGCTTAGAGACTACAAATTTATAACAGAGCCTTCAGTGGCCCATGGAATATTATGGGAAATGTAGGATATAGTGTTTTGGAGCTTGAGCCATACTAGGGACTACAATTGAGCAATATCCACCATAGCTCAACAGATGAAAAAAAAGAGAACCAAGTACAGATAATCAAACACCCGAAAACCAAAGGGAACTAATTCTTGAAATGCACTGGGGGAAAACAACTTGTCTGTTTTCTTAAACAATCATATACTTTAACTAAACTATTTCAGGTCATTTCAATAAATGCGTGTTCATGCCAACAGCATGATCCCTCCCATTAGGTTCGCCTGAATGCACTCCTCTCTATTCAAAGCAGCTGTCTCTCAGGGGCCCTGTTTGATTGATTAAAACTAGACTTTGTAGCCATCCAACACGAGTACTCTAATACATTCTGCTTGCTTGCACGTTTGCTCCCCTCAAAGAGTTGTTAAGGGGAAGCCAGAGGACAGAGGAGGACGATAGATAGATAGATAGCTAGATAAATAGATAGATAGATAGATAGATAGATAGATAGATAGATAGATAGATAGATAGATAGATAGATAGATAGATAGATAGATAGATAGATAGATAGATAGATATTGAAGATGTGATGAGAAATGAGGAAATACAAAACAAGTGTAAAGGACAGGAAAGAGCTGCTGTTGCTAGGGTATACGAAAGATGAGCAGGTGAAGTGAGGAGAGGCATGAACGAGGAGGAGAGTCAAGGCACCATAATAGTTTGAGTCCTAATCAGACTGATAAGATATGACAGCCTCAGAGCCTCAGAGCCAACATAACTATTCTCTCTCTGTGTCTTTCTCCCTCCCTCATGCACACACACGCTCACAGATACACCAAGATGCTGGTCATTTATGCTGAGGAGTTGGCTGTCAGGCCACGTTCACACATCCACTTCAAAAACGTTGCTGCCTCTGCAACTCAGAAATGTATGGCTGTAAGGGAAACATAGATTATTGAACAATACAGTCCAACAACTTTCCAAAGACCTGACCAATCCTTTAGTTTGTCGTTACGTCAGAGTGGCAATTGATTGGCTACAAGTTGCATAAAGAAGGGCATTAAATACCACTGTATAATATGCCATAACTTTATTTTGTAGCAACACAGACTTTGCAGCACTGCGGTGCACTGCATTGTGGAAATAGCCATCTGTTGGGTTTTTCATGTGATAGGGGAGTGCTGTGTCTCTGTTGCACCACGAAGAGCGTCTTGCCATTCGCGCCTGTATAGCTTAGTGGTTGACACAAAGTCTCACCTGACCACTATACACCCTGAGGGGTTTTTCCTTCCTCTATTGATCTCCTCACTGCTCTCGGGATCAGCCACCTGCCTGCACAGCTGCTGCTCATTTGCTCATTAGTTCCCCAGTATATATAAAAGGCAGTTTCCCCACACACATTTGCCAGGTGGTGCCGCCTAGTTGTTGTAGTGTCTGAGTCATTCATATCTGCTTGATACCTGTTGCTCATATTCTGCTTGCTGTTTCTGCAGCGTTTGCTTGCCTGATTCTGTCTGCATGCATGTTTCTGACAGTAAGCCTTGAAAGCCCAGTGAGTACAGAGGCTTTTAGCATTACCTGCCCAGCTTGTTGGGTCTGCTTAGCATTCTGCATTTTGCGTCTGTATCATTAAGAGAGTTCTGTTTTGTCAGGCTCTCCCTGAGCTGTCTGGTTTGACTAAAACTAAAGTTGGTAACTGTGGTTAATTGATCTCACATAGTTTACTTACTCGATCTAGTAAGCCAAGTTTTCCAAGTCAGGACTTTCACAAGGTGGCAGTGTTAACGGTCCAGTGTGTAACATTTAGGAGGCTTTATTGGCAGAAATGCAGTAGAATATAATAATATTCATAGGTATATATACATATTAGTGTATAATCAACTGACTATAGGAATCGGTATTTGTTACCTTTAGAATAAGCCCTTTATACACCAATAAGCCATAACATTATGACCACTGACTGGTGAAGTGAATAACACTGACTATCTTTGACTATCTTATCATGACACCAATATCAGAAAATTAATATTTGGTCCTCAAAGTAGATGTGTTAGAAGCAGGAAAAATGGGCAGTGTAAGGATTTGAGCAATTTTGACAAGGGCCAAATTGTGATTGCTAGACGACTGGATCAGAGCATCTCCAAAACTGCAGCTCTTGTCGGGTGCTCCCAGTCGGCAGTGGTCAGTATCTATCAAAAGTGGTCTAAGGAAGAAAAAGTGGTGAACCGGCAACAGGGTCTTGGGTGGCCGAGGCTCATTGATGCACGTGGGCAGTGGAGGCTGACCCGTATGGTCTGATCCAACAGACGAGTTACTGTGGCTCAAATTGTTGAAAAAGTTAATGCTGGTTCTGATAAAAAAAGATCAGAACAGACTGCATCACAGTTTGTTGTGTATGGGGCTGCAGATGCCACTAAATCTTGGACCTTGTTAAAAAAAAATGAAACAATGGCAGATCAATACCGATGTACCGTGTCGTTCGTTAGACATGAAATGAATAGTTGACTGTGTATGCAATGTAAAGTTTTTTTAAAAAACAATAGAGCCTTGTCTAAAGGCTTGACAAAAGTGTGTGTGTGTGTGTGTGTGTGTGTGTGTGTGTATATGTATGTATATATATATATATATACAGGATATGGTATATACTTGTCCTTTTTAAAGGAGGCATCCAGCGGCACATTCAATTTACACAGATGAAAACATATTTATGCATATTATATTAAATTTCTGCCAAAAGATAAATATTACACACTGGACCTTTAAGGCCAGACATTCCACTCAAAGTAAAGTGCTGAACTTTTAGTATTTTCTTGGAAAGGCAGAAGCACAGAACGTAGAGGTTGAGTCTTTAAATCGGTTGAAGTGAAAAAGGTGGCTTTTCTATGCTAGGTCAAACTCTTTGGTGTGGATGCTAAGGGCATTTATGGATTGAATTGCTTTTGAGGACAAAATGAAAGTAAATGCATTGAAGCTGAGCTTGTTGAATACCAGTCACTTTACTGGCCAGGTTGACCTGCTTTGTCAACCCGTTTTTGTTCACCAAAGGCTATCATAGTTACAAATTCTTGAAGGGATTCATTGCTCTTTAAAAAATAAAGAATTGCTGGTGAGCCATCTGGAAAATGTTATCAGTGGTTTTCTGAAACCACAGATATCATCAATGATAGTGATTATTTACAGTATCAGAAATAATTTTAGTGCCCTTATCCTAATTGATAGGGTGGGGGACATGGGTGCTGTGTGGTACTGGCTCAGACTGTCCAATGTCAGAAATCATATCTTCTTGTTTTTGAGACATTCATAAAGAGCTGTTATATATAAATATATCAGTGTTTTTCTTTTTTTCTGTTGTCAGGTGGTCTATAAAATGTTTGTTATGGTTAATAACTAAAATTACAGTATCAGTATTTCTGTGTTCTCATCGACCTAGTCATCTTTCCCTGACTCCCCCTTTCTTCTTTGCTGCATTTACATCTCTCCCTGTTTACCCTCACCTCCTGGCAGATTCGTCTCTCTTCCATATATTTACACCCTCTTTTACTCCACTTCATTACTCGCCATAACTTCTTCTCTGCGTCTCCTCTCTCAGTGACAGGCAACAGGAGATATGGCTCTATGATGTCTAGTAGATTTTAAGTGCTGCTTGACAGGTGCGGTGGTAAAGTATTGTATCATAGCAGGTGCATGAGCGTACTATCGTGTACAGTGCATATGCGTGTGTAGGCGGATGCTGATGCATTTTTTGCACATCTGGGAATACGTGCAGTCTTGTTGGTGTGCTTGCCTTGACATTTTACAGCTTTAGTGATTGTTGTGGTTGTCCTATAGGCATATAATGTTTCTCCCATTGAAGGTCTTCGTATTGCCCACACCTCAGCATATTACACTATTATAAGTCAACGTTATAGCCCGGCCACACTCCCATACAGATGCACGCCTGCAGATTCATAAACTGTGTGTATATACAATGTATATGGACATTTATATAGACAATACATACACAATAATAATAGATCATAATTGATGTTCTGTGTTTTTTTTTCTGCATTCTGTAATTTTTCTTCTTTCTGCACATACAGTATTAAAGAAAATTAATGTGTGGGTGTGCACATGCATGCCTGAATGAAAGTTTACCACCGTGTGTTTTTGCCAAGGATTGATTTTCCCTTTTCTGCAGCATTCTGTTTAACTCTGACTTGCTCAGAGCTTGTTGTTACATAAATAAATAGCATAGGTAAAGCATTCTTTTATACCTTTGAACAAGTGGAACAGGCCACCAACATTTTTTTTTTTTTACATCCTGCTGGAGTTGGACAATATGAGGGAGGAAAAAAATCACATTGCATTCTTTTGACAGCGATTGCAATTTGATTCACAATAAGTGAGAATGATAATTTCACAAAAAAAAAAAAAAAATGATGATGTGATATTTATTGTGTTCCTTACCAAACAAACGTGTTCTTAAAAACAAGGAGAACAATATTTGTAGACCAGGGCATCTCTGCAGAACTACAGTACTTTAACTGTACTTAAACTGTACTTAAATGTAAAATTGCAGCTTTTTTGGGGTTATATTGATATTTTAATATCATTCTGATGAATTGTGCAGCCCTAGCCCTCACTATTTTCAGCTGTTGATCCAAGCAATAGCTGTTTTTGTTTGTCTGACCAATGTGAAATTGGTCAATATCGGTCAGGCTCCAGCTTTTTTTTCCTGGTATGTTCCTTGTAAACTAGGCTGGATCAAAAAATACTTGTAAGTGATCTATTCTCATGATGCAAATTAAACACTTTTGGTTAAAATTTGAGAGTGTTCTAGTTTGTTTAAGTTCTTTTTGTTTTTGTTTGTTTCTAGTTTCATATACGGTGAAACATTATTACAGTGGTGAATGTTCTCAATTACTGTATTCTGTTTTTGCTAGTTCGGATGTATTTCATGCTGATTTGTTTTGTCATATTTGTAGATGATTGTTGTGATATTCAATTATCTGCCTGGTTCTGTTTCCAGAATAAGGTGAGCCCCCTCAATGTGACTCCACCCATTCAAGCTGTGGACCAAGACAGAAACATACAGCCTCCCTCTGACAGGCCAGGGATTCTATACAGCATCCTCGTTGGTAGGTTTACATGTTTTTGGTTTATGTTAGTGCATTAGTATTGGACAGTATATACAATGAGGCAATGTACTTTTGTGTAGCATCCATAGATTTAGACCATTGTAGGCAGTGTTGCCAATCAATGATGCCTTAATGTGTCAAGTACTAAATTTGTTGTATTGAAAGAAAACAGATATTAGTCTTTTTTTTTTTTTTTTTTTTTTTTTTTACAGTTTCTCAGTTAATTTCTCAAAAACATTTAGTGTTTTGCAATACATCCATTATGATAGATCATTCAAACCACATAGCTGACTCCTAGCTGGCACAGGACCATGCACAGTCTACCTGATATACCAGGTATTATTTCATTCAATACATTTTCATGAGCACCAAGTCAAACTATTTATTGTATTTATTTATTTTAAATGGTTGAATTTGAGGCAAAATCTCAAATTCTGTCATTGAGTTAACCCTGATTGGTCACACAAAAAGAAAACATAATTTAACAGGCCATTTACCCATAACAATAGAAAAGAACTCTGTAATTCCAGGTGACAACAGCACATCTGTTCATAGAGGGCCCCACAGAACCAATCTTGTCAAGTCTGTGGTCTCAGAGCTCCTTAGCCCTGGGCCTAATTGTTGGAAAAGGATTATACGGTTTTTAAGGAAGTCACTTAAATGTTTAGGTGCAGGATTAACTCGGCAGAGTAGTACTGTATTTGAAGTAATTGTTAAAAGGATGCTAATAACCAGTTTGAAAAGGATAAGATGTTTCCAATGCAATTGAAATGCAATTATCTGCCCCTTAATGGCACATCTTGACTCTTTGAAATTGTAAAATGCAGCGTCACAACAAAAATTGACTTTTATTCATGAGGGTCTGCAAAGCCTGTAAAAATGTACTGACATGACTTGACACAGACTTGATTACATTTCCAAAACTCCTCCTGTGAAACTAATCTCTGCCTGAGTAAGGATTATGAGAGACGATGTCACAAAGGGCAAAAAATCAGTTGCAACAATAAAAAAAAAAAAAAGAATTAATAGCTACTGAGGGTCAGTGGAGTTTTCAGTTCAATGTTTAAAGATTTTAGCTCTAGTGGCCTTCATCAAACAATACATGAACAGTGGTTGGTAATTACTGTTAGACATCAGTGGTATTTTGCAGAACAGACTGTCGCACAGTGGAGCTGTATGTATTCACTGTGGCCTTGAATCTCGGACGCGTGGACATTCTCACACCTTGAGAAAAAGATGCTGTAGGCAACATCCATAACCACAACTATAGGGGGAATCATGCTGTGTTGTCCACGTGTGCCTGTGTTGCTGCTCCTCTCACTAGAACCTGATTTCCCCACTGAGCAATGCAGCATTCCAAAGCACCATATATGTATATGTTGTGTGTGTGTGTGTGTGTGTGTGTGTGTGTGTGTGCATCCCCACCTGTGGAGAGCAGAGATGAGAAAACTGGGAACATTAGCCATGCCTCTCTCTCTCCCTTCTCCCCTCTCCCCCTCCCTGTCTCTTTTATACTCCCCCATAGACACCCACCAGACAAACTTATATTGATTCTTAAACCAATTATTGATGTCTCTCCCTCTCTCTCTCTCTCTGGCATGCGCACATGCACACACACCCACAAACGACCCTGTTGTTATATATTTTGTATTTGCTCTGTTCTTACTGTTTATATCTTATTGCCTGCTCTCTCTCTCTCTCTCAGGCAAACCGGAGTCCTATGCAGAATATTTCAGCTTGAACAGAACCACAGCAGAGCTCCTGCTACTAAAGCCCATCGATAGAGAACTCCACCGCAGATTTGATCTGGTTATCAAGGTGAGAAACATAGGAGCTGCAAACAGTAGAGGTTTAACTCAATTCTCTCCCAGCATGTTTCTTATGGGAACAGCAACCTCCCTTCTCAATGTGCAGTGCTTTTTACTGCCTTTAACCCCCCAAAATATCCATCAAGCTGTTGATCAGTAAATCCGTAAGCTCAAATAAGGACTAAATGTTCCTCCTTAATGTATTTATTTAGTGCTTCCCAGTTTCTGTCAATTAAATGTAGTCTACCCTAAACATGTTAAATGCCAGTAATTGTAAAGCATTAGAACTATCCCATACTGTGTGAAGGTTTTTTGTCTCAATTAGGCTGGTAATGGAATTACACCACCAAGCATACATCAGGTTCTGCTCTACTGAAATTGAAAATGGAATTTTTCCTCTATAGGATGCTTTTTGTATAATTAAAAGTGTGTGTCGGTCTGTGTATATGAGTGTACAGCTATTGTTTATAAAATGACATTGCATCAGGTGTACTTTTGGGGTGGTAAAGCTGTTGGATCCCATATGAACTAATGAATGAGAGAAGGAGGAAGAGACGCGAGGGAGCAAAGCGGCAACAAGAATGAGATGTAGATGACAATGGCAAACTAAACAGAAATGGAGACGCATAGGAGAGTACAGACAAACGCACAGGTACACAGGCAATCAAGGAGTTGTATAGTCATGTTTTTTAGATTGTTTAGACTTTACTAAACTTGGTCTGGGAGAGTTGAAGGGGAGGCACGGTGGGACTGACATGACATAAAGATGCTTTGTGAGGTGAATTTTAGTCATAACTCAATTCTTAACATGCAGACATGAAACAAATATCAATATTGTTAAGTGTGAGTTACGCTTACCGCAGATGTCCCTAACTCAGGTGTACATTGTGAATTTTAAAAAAAGTAATCCAGTGATTGTTGTCCGTACATACATGGGTACATTGCAAACATGAACTGCTAATAGCTAATTCAGCATACTTTTTAATGGTGCCAGTTTGCAAAAAATATAAACAAATATAGGATAAAAATGAGAATACCAGTTGCTACATGTAGCTGACATTACAGAAGCTCATTTGATGAGCTTTTATGGGGGTCTTGCTCTCTTGATGGCTTTATTTTTTTCTGTCTTCATTTGTTCCTGAATAAACCTATGCATTATCCCTGTCTATCAGATTGGCCAAAACATTTTAGTTTACTCCATGCTCACGTAATGTTAAATTCACGCCACCTCTTCTAGAGAAATGAATTCTTTGGGGCTTTAGTAGTTCTGGGAGGTAAAGACCAAGCTTATATTCAAGCTGTGCTACACGCAATTTTGTCAGCCAAGATTTACAAACAGTAAAAAAGTGAAGAGAAACCCTACATTTGCTGTTCTCTCTAATACAGTTTGGTCTCTTAAGGGAAATTGATTCAGCCTCAAAAAGTGGCAGATTGAAAAAGCTGACTCAGCAGTGATTAATGACTCAACCTCACCAAAAATTGCAATTCATTTACATTCAACTTTGCATGCAAGCACATAGGCTTTGTTTGTTATGAAACCCAAAATGTAGAACTGCCGTGTATTGGTACTGTCATACCATTTATTTGTCATAACTCTATTGGCTCCTATCTTATTACATATTATGTGAGGCATTATCATTAAAACCCACTTCAGCGGCAGGAGTTAGTGGCTAGAGTACAGGAGGTGAGGCATCGCAGCCAGAATGAACAATTATTTTCTCTCTTCCCCTTTAGGCAGAGCAGGACAATGGCCACCCCTTGCCAGCTTTTGCCAACCTCCAAATCGAAGTTCTGGATGAAAACAACCAGGCACCCTACTTCCTGGAGACCAGTTACCATGGCTACATCAGTGAGGCATCACCAGTGGGAACCACCATAGCGACCAATGCCAGCCTGTCTGCACCGCTGGTCATTGTAGCTCTGGATAACGATGTGGAGGAGGTGAGGACAAAAGCATTTAAAGCTGTAACTGACTTAAGACATCATAGGCTGATTAATACTCATATTCTGAAAATTGAAATAGTTTCCTTCTTGCAAATTAAGACTGTTATGGCTTTAATATGGCAATATATGTACAAAATAAATAAATAAATACATTGAATTGAAACAGATTTTTATACATTTTTCACATTCAAATAAACACAAGATATTTTATGTATTATATCAATATTTTATGTATTATAATATATCAATATTTTATGTGTGTATTACATTGTAGCCCTATGTCTCTGAGGAGTCGCATATATGATTTTCTTGCATCTACTTCCTCTATAGCTCACAGCCAATAAGATGCCTGTAGGTATCAGCTTGAGTTTGTTCCTTTTATCTTCACCTCCTTTTGCTGAGTTCTCTGAGGCTTCAACTGGTTGATTAACAAGGACTGCGTCTAGAACTAGAATTGATTTACTCCAAATTTCAATGGTGGAACTTTCCATTCTCGCATGGCTCATAAGCAGTTTAAGTGATAATGACATGACAGTGCTGGCAGATGTTTCACTCGAAAATCATAGTCATTTTTGAAACAATGGGTTCCTGATTTTAAGAAAAAAAGGTAGACAAAAGGAGGCTTTGTGTTTTTAGGCCGGCAACTTGTCCACGTTGACAGCTGAAATAACAACATTTATATACTGTGATGGTATGTCCTTGTATTCTGGTTTGATGGAAAAGAAGCACTTTGGAACTTTCCGAACCCATCATAACATATAATGCACATTTCGAGTGTGTAAACAAACCAATTCCTGTCTTCAGACACAATTAAATCACCATGTTATCAAAACAAGCAGCATGGTGACTGTGTTTAAAAAGGAGGGTACCGTACAGAAGTGAAGGATTGAGCCATTGAAATGTCCATTTTGTTTTACTGAATCTCTACTTTGTGCCTTGCTTGCAGTGTGTGAAGTGTCCTATCTAATTTCCCTGTGAATCTGGATAATAAAACCCTTTCGCTCTTAAATTGCCTCTCAGTGATAATGTAAGAATTTACAGTGCTGCAACATTGTTATCGCCGATGCATTCCCAAGAGCTTAGTTTGTTTAAGATGTAGCATAGGCATTTTGACAAAAACAAGCTTTGGTTCATTGGGTTCTAAAAGACCCCCACAGCAGGGAATGGGCTTAGTGAGGATAATGTGTGTGTTTCTGTGTGTTCATGAGACTGGATGTGTGTGTGTTTGGAGCGGTTGATATACGTTGAGTTATTTTAAATATTGCTAACCCTGGTCTTTCCTCCTGCATTAAGTACCAACAATGATGATTAGTCCTAATTGCTTTTATGTGCCGTCCATCACTTTTATTTATGTGTGTGCATACAACTGAGTGCATGTTCTTAACTGTGTGTGTGTGTGTGTGTGTGTGTGTGTGTGTGTGTGTGTTTATTTATGACTCAATATCCACACTGGCTACATCGACAATATTATCAGCCCCCCTACCCTGCTGAGCCAGCCTTATCTGGAATGAGAGCTCACACACACATACAGTGTACACACACACACACACACACACACACACACACACACACACACACACAGAGGAGGTGACTGTAGGTAATGTCAGGGGAGGACTTGGATGAGGATTGCCTCTCCATCACAGAGTACACCACACACACACACACACACAGACAGAGCCCTCTTAGGAGAATTTTTATGTCAAGAAAACCTTGGAGGAGATGGTTTTTCATTCACCTTCTTTCCTGTCTAAGCACTTCTTTGCTCTCAGCTGTTTTGCATGTTTTCATTTGTTATGTTTCTCCACTTATTTATACTGGCTTTCCTTCAATTTGTAAAATACAATAAATTGTAATATTTCAAATACAGTGGAAAAGAGAGAAATAAACAAATACAACTCAACACATGCTTCTTGCCTGTTTAAAGAGTTACTTTTTGGTTATCTGCTCCTTGATTATTCACTGTATGGTCATTGAGCATCCGATCTCCTAAAACCTTAGGGTACTCCTTTGATTGAACCACTGGAGGTGTCATCATTTCCTCTGTAGTTGTACTGGGCTGCTCAGGGGTGTAAATGTGTACCTTCCCTGGGTGATTAAAGATCAAAGAGGAAAAGATAACTGCTATAATGTCTTCCTTGGTCCTCTAAACATTTCTCTTTCTTTCCAACAGACCAGGGATCCTCAGCTCCAGTTATCATTGGACAGCTATTATCATGTTTTCTCTGCATCTGCTACTGGGATCAGAAGATATCTCACCCTGGTGCAACCACTGGACAGGGAGACACAGGACTCCTATACATTCACGGTACTATAAAGTCTTGGAATTTGTGTGCATTATATACAGTATGTGTGGAAAAAGCTGGAGAGAAAGTTTGAATTCATTTGAATAACTTAACCTCAAATCAGAGACCTTTGATAAAAACCGTAGGGGTGGTCTTGGGGAAAAAAAGACTTATCTAGAAAGGGAGGGGAAAAAAGCGAAGAGATGAGAGAAGAATTAAGAAAGAGGTATGACGAAGAGAAGACGACAGGAGGTAAAATGGGGTAGATAGCAAAAAGAGGAATTGGAGGCATATGCACCTGCAGCTCTATAAAGTCGGTAATATTTCAAACCGATTTATCTGTTTTCCCAAGTAAGGAGGGGTCAGCGAGAAAAAGAAAATGCAGGAGATGGCTGTGAAGGTGAACAAGAGAAAACCGAAGAGTAGGATGTTACAGAGAAAAAAAACAACAACAGTGGACATCGGTGGTGGAGGGAAGAGAGCCTTTCATAAACCAGAAACAGAATTTAACTTCCCTTGACTACTGTTTAAAGCCCCTTCAAGGAACTTTCATTTTGTGCTGATTCTTGGGGCCCCTGTGGACCAGAGCGGTTGTGTTTCTACCGCCTTGTTTCATTGATTTTGAGAATCTGACCGTATCCAACCTGGTGGCAGGAATTAAGAATAACTATAAAGAGATAGCCAATCCTCTGGTCTTGTGTGCTTATGTAGGTCATATAGAGGCATTAGTGAATTGAGACTTTTATGAATTTTTGGCTAATTTTCAACATTCAGGCCAGGACTTGGCTTTTCAATCGCTTAGTGCAGAAATGGATGTAGAAACCAAGACGTATTACAGTGGTTGCTGTCTCTCTTTCCTTCAGTTATCCTGCCTCTCTTCATTCTTTGGTCTACTTTGCGTTTTTTTCCTCCTTTTGTTCCGTTCCTCCTCTTATTCTCTTATTTCATTTCAGTGCAATCTAATTCAGCACAGAGTATCTCTCTGGTCTGTGCGCCTCACCATATTATTTACAACATTGTTACTTCATACAGCAGTCTGTTATCTGTCAAGTTCAGCCTGGTCACACTGGTAGTGTGTTTATGTGCACGTGTGTGGGAGTGGAGCATATTGTATAGTTTAATGCGGCCCTTTGTGTGCATGCAGGTACTTGGAAGTTAAAGATGGAAGAAGCAAAAGGTCTGGTGTATTGATTGGGAGGCAGAGGTGTACAGTAATCATCATGAAAGCCTTGCAGGAGAAATTAAACTGGAGGAGGAGAGAGAGCGGGAGAGCGCTGTGAGACATGGAGGATGATTTTCATTTAAAGGAGAGTCAATCAGCTTCTTGGCAGATGAGCCTGTGGGAAAGATTGGTATCGGAGAAGAAGCTATTGTTGCCGTACGTTTTGATAGGCACTATGATTTCTTAGAAATGCATGTTTTAGTTATATTTGTTTACTGCTTTTATGGAAGAGGGGATTCACTGGAAGAAGAGAGGAGGGACAAAAATTACCAATCCTTTTTTTGGGAATCAAAAGCACTGTGGCATCCTTAACCAATATTTAAGATGTTGTTTTTTTTAACACACAAGAGTATGAGCACTAAATGTTTGTGTGCTGACTGAAACCAATAGCAAATGGTAGCTTTTTTACTCTCTCTCTCTCACTCTGTGTAATAACAAAAATGTCCAAATATTACCCATAAATACTATGCAATTCACTTACTGTTGGTTTCATAGGTATTGGACACAGAAATCAGACTTAAGAATAGTCATTGTTATCATAATTCTAATAATTATAGACAATAATGAAGTATTTACACTACACTTCTTTTTTATGGCCAATATGGCCGTTAATAGTCCAGAATTCTGGCTACTGGACATAGCCATATAATAGCCAACATTTAAACAGCCATGAAACACAAATGCTAAAAACATGTGTTTACCTGTGACAACAAACATACTAAATGACCATAACGTGAAACAGAGAGAGAAGAAAAAGAGGAGGATGAGGGAAACGGAGTCAAGCGTGTGCCAGAGCGACTGTGTTTCTGACTCTGGGGCTCTCAGCTCCAGTGTTTTACAGTAAATGCAGCAAAGTTGGCTATATTCCTGTCGAAAGAGACGTGTAACTAACTCATGGAAAGAAAGCAAAAATTGTTGAACTAATCCTGTAAGGAATTACTTTGAAGAAAATATAGAGTAATACTTAACATGGAAGGTGCTTTTAAGCAGTTAATGTACACTGGCATTATGATTATCTGGACACAAATGTTTGTTTATGGCTCTTTTGGTGTTCTTTAGATATTTGAATCAGATTTTCTTCTATTGTGGGGAAACCAGGTATCCTGTGAGGAAATTGTGTAGGTGAGATTAAATAAAGAGGAGACAACAGGGACAGATTGAGTTTCAAGAGTTTTCAGTTGTATCCACAAAAACACATAAATAAACCCAGAACAGGGATTTAAATGGGAAAAGCAGAGATCAGCTAGACCCCAACACAAACAAGGAAACAAACACACTATCAAGATGTCAAAGACATATTGAGTACACAGTCCGCCCACCTCAGGATTCTCAAAAGGTAGCTTTTTGTTGCTCGGCTGAGCGTAACATTTTCAAGATGGAACATTTTATTTCTTGCACATTATTTGTAAATCTCTTTCTTTGTGTCTTTATTTCTCCAGCTTGTAGCATCTGATGGCGTCCAGCAGAGCGTTCCGGTTACCGTGAAAATAACGGTGCTGGATGCCAACGACAACACTCCCACTTTTACTAATGTCTCTTATAATGTCAACCTATTTACTGATATGATGCCTGGAGAAACTGTGTTACAGGTACACACTGTCAAACACATTAACACAGTACTTAAAATATGTAGTATGTAGAACTTTACTACTTTATTAGATTATGATTATGGTGTGAGAATATGTGTGTGAGTTTTTAAACACATGGCACTTTTGTGTGTATCTCTTCCCAGCTGTCAGCAGTAGACTCAGATGCAGGTCCCAACGGTCAAGTCACCTATCGGATCTTAGCTGGTGACCAGGGACATTTTCTCATTGGCAACAGGTAAATCTATCACTTGCATTGAAATGTTTATATTTTTATTTTAACATTAAAGGTAGTAGTTGTACATTTTGCCAAATATGCGTTCTTCGCTGAGAGACGAGATTGAACCCATTTTCATCTCTGTACATTAAATATGAAGCTACCACCAGCAGCCAGTTAGCTAGGGAAACAGCTAGCGTGGCTCTGTCCAAAGGTAAGAAGAAAAAAAAACCTACCAGCACTTCTAAAGGCTTGTTTTCGTAAAAGGAGTTTTAGCCACATTTTTCATTCATCCTTCTCACACTTGTCTGATGGAACAGATTTGCTTCTATACTTATCATTACAGCTGTGTGCCAAGGCTGTGTAATGGCGCACGCTTCACTTTCGGCTCGGCTCTGAGTGCTGCCAAATCGCGGATGACCTAGGCTCAGTACTGTACCTGAATGCATCCTGTGTAGGCACTGATGGGACTGTAACTGCTGCTGCTCTACTAACATGCTGCTTTCGCTTCACAGGCTGTGTAGACATTGTGTAAAACTCTCTAATTCACAATATATCTTGTTTAAATCTGTCTGAAAAACAAAGTAATGTAAAAAATTACAATTTTCGTTTTAATGGGGGAGACTAAAACCTCTGCAAAAAAGCAAATAAGCATATTTGACAAAATGTCGAACTATTCCTTAAAGTAATTCAGGGGTTATTATAGTGTAAAAACACTGCTGTTTTTCACTTTGGGGATTGGGCATGAGACCACAAATTCACTTGAAAAATGCTTCAGTTAAATGGATGTATAGATTTCTGTGGTGTTGTTTGAGGTCTTGGTACTGTTGACATTATTGATGGTATCTTGTGTAGAATTTGTAAACACCTATATGTACATCAGTGTCACATTAATAAAATGATTAAATCAGTATTTGCCATAGACGTATAAGCTTAAGACAATTGGTGGTCTGCCTCTTGGAAGATTTTCTGAAGAAACCAAGGGGGTGACATAAAACAATTATTTATTAATGTCAACTACACTTACCAACTTCATTTTAGTCATTTGAATAAAAGTGTTCATAGTCATGTCTTATTGAACAAACTGTTTTCACAGCACTGGGGTGATTACTGTGGCACCAGGTGTTGAGCTCACTGTTGGGCGGAGCTACGCTTTGACTGTAGAAGCCATGGACAATGGGCCTGTACCTCAAAGAAGGTAAGAGTTTCTCTGCCTGCTTCTTCAGTCCTTTCCTCTGTCTGTGTGGAGCTTGAAGGGTCATCAAATTTCCAGAGCTTTTACACTCATTGTCAGACACTCCACAGCCCTCACCCTCGCTCCCTCTTTATTTCTCTTTCCCTGCCATTTTCTCCGTCTTTTTACCCTTTTCAGGTGTGCCGTTTTTATTTTTAGAAATGTATGAATTCTGGTTTTATACTGGAAAATGGCAGGAAAGAAGTCTAAGAGAAAAAAACAATTGATAGCACATTTGTGAGAAGGAAAGAAGAAAGGAGAGTAAAGCAGAATTGAAGGTAATGAAAGGTTGCCTCACTACTAGTTTACCCTATTCGTGTGAAACGGAAAGAAATTATACCGCATTTCAGAGAAGGGACAATTTCTGAATTTTCAGGTACACACTGCATCTAGAATAAATGTACTCTATTGCTTTCAAAGGATAAGGACTGACTTGAAAAGGTGGTATTTTGGGATTTTTGCACTCGCCTGCCTTTTTCCCATCTCCTGTCCTTCATCTTTATGGATTAAATCAATAAGGACCCTTAACTTTCACCAACTCACCAACTCAGGCTATTCCTTAACATTTCATGGAAAAAGCAACTGCTCCTAATATTTTGTAAACTCTGTGTGTATTGATTAGTTAGCTAAGGTCTGCCAGAGAGCAGTTCAATTGTGAAATTGTAGTTTTAGCAATTACCGTGCAATATCTTAAAATAGAGGCAAATCCAGCCATTGAACCATTCACCCACTGGAACACAGTCAATCTCCATTGCTCCACAGATTGATGTAGCAGCTGCATAGGCAGAGAGTTTGATTCTTTTAGTGTTTTTTGCTGCACTATGCTTCAGCTTGACTCAAAAAACATCATAAAACAGGGACTCAGTGGGAACATGCCATGTGCTTTTGCAGGTTTCAGGAAAAAGGGACAACAGGAAAGAAAAGGTGTTTGTTTTTTCATGCACGTTGTCCCTCTTTTCATTTTTCTCCTGGTTTTGAGTTTTCTTCTCTTCTTTCATATCATCTAATACAGAAACACCATAAGGAAAACTATTTAAAATGAGAGAGAGAGAGAGAAATTGGCATCAATGAAAACAAAAGCCATACAGCCTGAGCTATGGCACCATGAACAACAGCCTGTTGTTTGCTGATACTCAAAGCACACTTGGGTGTAGTTCTTTGTTTTTTGCACTTTGGAATATCTCAACAAAAGGATAAATTAGCACTGCAGTGTCCTTGCGGAAAGGACAAACAAGCCAAGTCCTTGCTCTTCTAACAAGAAGCGCAGAACAAAAGCAACGCTTGGTTACAGTCACACAGGACGTTTCAGTACCGAAGCGATGATTGCTCGTTATGTAGGCTTGTGGAAAAGGAAACTAATTTCATAGGTTCATATAGGCTGAGCAGGTCAATGGAGAATATTCCTCCCTCCCTCAATTATTGATGTGTTTATATCAAAACACACTTGAGGAAGTCACTGAACTGTTAGATGTTTAATTTGAGCTGTCAGTGGCCAACAGTAGGGGATTCTGTTCATCAGTCTCCTGATGAAAATGTAATTACATTTCAAACTTACCTGTTTAAATGTAAGAATACAGGAAAACTATACCTTGTGCGTATGAGTATGACCATCAGCAGTTATCTCCCCTGTGAGCAACTCCACACTAAACCCCTTGCTGCTTTTAGAAGTGTTGGTCTCTCCGGATAAACTGAACTAGTGCAGACAAAGGCAAATGGATTGAAAGAGTACTACCAATATAGCATTGCACTCCTGTAAAACTGTCGGACTCACGGTGGGTCATTTGAAAAAATCAATGCTGCAGAATCAGAGAGATCAGGTTTTTTTTTTTTTTTTAATGCCACACATTCTTCTTCCTTGTCAAAACCTGGCACCTACTTTAGATTTGGGTATGTCATAGTCATAGTAGTGGCTAATGTAGCTTTGAACCACTAGCTTCAAGTAGGGTTTTAGCATATCGGAAATGCCTCAAACAGACTAAAATGCTAGATTCTGTATGGATGACTACCCAAGTCATGCTAAGCTGATTGAATTGGTTTGTCATATTGTTGGAATAAATTACAGTATATTTTAAAAAGTAACTGTAATGCACACTGTAATGTTTTGCATGCTGTGAAAAATAGGAGAAACTGCAATTTTTGGGTAAATTTGCTATACTTGTCACACTTGTGACAGACCAGACAAGTTTATTTTGGCCTGCCATCAAGTTACTCATGGAACTAACGTTAACTATTGACAGCTGATATAATGTTACTCGCAACGTTTGTCATTTTAGCCTGTGGAAAAAAATGGCCAAAAAAAAAGCATCTCAGTTAAGTGAAGTTCAGTAGAGAAAGGATTGGATTTTGATCTGCTATCATTATATTCAATACCGATCCATTAAAATATGCCTGCATCGTCCCAATACCGATCCTAAGGACTGGCTTGGGACATCTTAAATGAAAACTAGTAATTAAATGCTCTCAAACCTCTCAGCATTTCAGGCACTCAAAAGTCAAAGCTTTATGAAACAACACAAATTCAATTTGTGTAAACAGCTGACTTGTTGACTTTGTCTGAGGACAGCCCCCAGGTGACACAAGAGCTGTCCTCAGATTTACCCAAACTGAATCAAGCTGCTGAGTCAAATGAATCAATCCAGTTTCACAAAACAGCTTAAGTGTACAACAAAAATGAATATGATTGCACGATTTTATCTTTATTAATAAAATGTATGTCACAATTGCATTGGATTGCTCTTTCCAACAATGTTTGTCAGTCATAAAAACCTCAAATCCTCTACCCTCTTGGCTTCAGCTATGTTGCTGCCAAATCGATACAGAATGTGAACCACTGCAGATTGAGGTGGTTCCAGTGATTGGCTCACAGATTGTCCCCAAATTTCCCCAGACCCTCTGTTTATCTCAGCTGAAAACATAACCCACATAACAAATCAATATCTATCTCTGCTACCTGATTTATTAAAACTGAGTCAGGACCCAACATGAGCTGTGTGTCCTCTTACTAGTGGGTGCCAACAAGACATGAGTGACAGCATTTTTTAATGACTTTGGATTTCAGCTTGTGAGTATTACATCTCCATGTTAGGGGGCTGGAACTGTTAAAGAACCCTTGGGATACATGTTTCATTCAGATTAGAAGTGCTTTTGCATGGCCTAGATAGATCCACCCTGGAATACTGAAAACAGTTTATGCTCGGGGGTCTCATTTATACTTTAATCAAACTGTAGGGTAAGAGAGAGAAAAGAGGGCAGAGAGAGAAAATATGAGTTAGGATAAGACGTTAGATAAATAGCTAGCGAGAGAACAACCTAAAGAGATAATTGTGCACTGTACCCTAAGAGGCATGTAGTAAAATATGGAGGTGATACAAAGTCATTGTTTGCAAGCAGTGTTGAGCAAGTTACTTGAAAAATGTAATCAATTACCCAATACATATTACTCATGTGACTTTACTTTTGTTACTTGGCCCAGTTCTGTCAAAGGTGCCTCAAAACATTTCCAAATCCTCCACACCCACAGGACAACTGTGCTGAGAGGGAAAATTAAACTTGACGAACCAATGTGGATGATTTAGGAGGCTCTATTGGCAGAAATGAAATATAATATTCATAGGTATGTTTTCATTGGCATATAATCACCCAAATATAATAATTTGTTATGTTTGTTTGTTGTTGTTGTTGTTGTTGTTGTTTGGTGTTTTCGTTACCTTAGAATTAACCGTTTTTTCATCTACTCTTCACGGGTCACCTTCCTTAGAGCCCACCATGTTGAACTGCCATGTTTCTACAAAGCCCACACCGGGAAAAACCAAACACTGGCTGTAGACAGGGCCTTTTACGTAGTTTTGCAGCCACCATAGTTTCTCCTACACACTTCACAGGCTGTTCTCATTCCCAGGTTGTCAAATACAGAAGCGAGCAGTGTTCAGTTAATTGCAGTCTACTAGATCACACTAAATCCTACACACTAGTCTTTTATAGTAAATGGACTGTACTTGTATAGCACTTTTCTAGTCTTCCAACCACTACATGAAACATTCACACATCCATCACAAACAGAAACTAACATTCATCCACATTTACACACCAATGCACATCAATTTTGGGTTCAGTATCTTGCTCAAGGGCACTTCAACATGAGGAGCCAGGGGTTAGTGGACGGCCCACTCTACCTCCTGACCTACAGCTGCCCTTTTTCACTTTCAGTAGCACTCACAACCAAGTGAACAGTATATAGGCTGCGCTCATTAATATGGTTATATAGGCTTAAAGAAAATAGACTTAAAGCATAAAAATGTGCTTTGGGTTACATGAAGCCATTATGCTGCTCGTGCCAAGAGCTGTATTGATTGAAATCGGAATGCATGTTTGTGATGAGACGAACAGCTGAAAAAACACATCTCAAAAAATGGTCCAGTGTCGACTGGGTTGGCGTTGGTAATGAGAAGAAGAGCAATTTGATGCTGAGAGTTCAGAGAAAAATAAACAGGACTATGAAGTGCACTCAGTGCCAAAGCCATTCACCTAAACACTCATCTAACCCAATAATGATTTACTGAACCGCCAAATAACTCTAAATGACTGGACTGAAGGAGGTTATTTGTGTGTGCAGCAGGGCAGAGTGGTGACTCAAAAGAGGACAGAACATGCTCAAGAAGCGACGTCCTTTTTTCCTTCATTGTCTCTGCAATAATTTTCATGTGCAAGTTAGTGTTTGTATGTACAAATGTGTGGGTTTGTGTTTGTGTGCGTGTACCGTAAAAGTTGGAAAAGTTTTCTTTAACCATGCATATGAAATGGATAATGCGTATTAATAAATAAGAGTTTTGAAAGAAGGAATTGCTTCCATTGGTAGACAGTTTTTGATTGAAATGGAAGGAGAAATAGGCCCCAGCTACAGTAGAAACCATGACTGAGTAATCTCTAGTCCCTCATTCGGTTTTCATCAATAATGCTATCTGAATTGTTTTAATAAAACACTGGCTTTCACTCTCTCTGGCAGCTTACATTTTTCCAGCCTTTATCTATTTATTTATTTATTGTTGTGAACATAAACAGATTTTGTGGGCTATTGTTTAGACCCGAGGTTCTTTGGCTTTTTCAGTCGATGATCCAGTTTGAGTGGAGTTAATCTCTCCCTTCTCTCCCTGCTGAAACTCGGCACACTCGCCAAGTAGGAACACAAAGTAAATCCCTGCGGTTTCTTAAATCACTCGTATCATGTGGGGGTAAAAGTAGGAAACGTGAGTTACTGGGCTTTTTCCTAACAATTATTTAACAAGTGTTAGCAATGACCAATTTGGTCTTTTACGGTTGGTCTTTTGCTACCAAGTTAGACTAGAGTGGTACATCTTTTCTTCCTAATGTGACATAATTATTATTATGAAGGTCTTCTGTGGACCACTGCCAGCATCAGGACTCATCACTTCCCTTGATAAGGCAGGAGTAAAATAATTTAACCCTAAACCCTGAGGCTGATTCACTGAAACTACACATATATTAGCATTATTTCATAGGAGTGGCTTAATGTGTAACCAAGAAAGATTGTTCCCACAACCTGTGCCCACAAAGTTGTGTTCCCTGCCAGTGAAGCATTTTATTTTGAATTCCAGCTCTTGCATCTTGTTCTTTTGGGATGAAGTTGTTCAGTATCAAAATTCTAGATTAAATTATCTAAAATAATTGGTATAGCAGATGTCAACTCTGTTTCCAGTTGGGTCTTAGTTTAATTTGCACTTTAGTGCATTGTTATTTCCCAATTATGTAAGGCAGTCAATTTGCCCAAGGGCGGAAAATTGTAAAATATGACAACTACGTCCCAGGTAATCAAATATTTTCAGAAAGAAAAATTGACAGAAGGACACAAGCTGTTTACAGCGCTTGAAAGAAACAGCTCTGTCAATTGTTGGTCATTACGGTGACATGCTGTTTTGGAGTGTTATGTTCATACTACAAAAATGTCAGTGAATACAGCTTATTGAACAGTCAAAGCTGTTTATCAGAGGAAATAAACACGTTGCAATTAAGACTTCATTTTACAAAGTGAAATAATGTATTGTCAGATCCAACAAAAAATGCATTTTCGCTTGGTGTCATCACATCCTAAATTAGAAATACATTTTTCTTTGCCTTAATTTGCTTTTAAGCCTGTCTCCTCTTTTTTATATAAAAAAAACCCTTATTTCTATAATATCCTCTTGAAACATTTTTATTAGGTTTCTTTACCTGTCAAGATGTTTCTGAATCCACTCATCCATTACTTTTGTTACAGAACTGTATTTAATAGTCATCTGCATTATCACTCCATTCATGCAGTTAAATGCAGTTGTGTGTGAAGAAACACCTTAATAATATTAATTCTAATATGATATTAAAGGTTTGTGTGTTTCAGTGCATGGCTCATCTTTGAGTGATATGTTAAGATTCTGAAGGTCTTCAAATGTAGCACGCTGCATAATAAGGTTCACAACACTGCATAATAAAGGGCACAGTAATTGATGATATAATACTGCCTGAACAAGATAGTGTCACACTATACAGACATAGTTTTACTGAAATGAATAAATAGAAAAATAAATGTTTCATCTCAGGGAAAACTCTGCACCTCTACATGCAGGATAGGATAAGATAGTCCAACTGTACAATAGGAACCTTAAGTCCTGCAAAAATACGGCAGCAGAGCACTGTCTAGTCTCTTTGCCACTCAGACTGTTGTTGACTTCACGCTCTTATCGATTAGTTAAACACAGCATGAAGTGCAAAGAAACAAACACTGGCCAACTGCTCTTAACTTAAATAATAGACCATTCACCCTCCCTGACACTGCTCTTTTTTACCCTCTATCCTCTTTTACTGCCCTCCAGCACTTCTCTTCTTCCTCTTCTCCTCTCATCCCTCTCCAACATTTCACTGCTACCATTCCCCTTTTATCTGCTTCTCTGTTACAGGATGTTTCTCTTTCTGTCTTTGTACTCTCTCCATCTGTCCTATCTGCCTTACCCAATTCTCTCCTCTCTCTCTGCAGGTCGTCCATTACTACGGTATATATCGAAGTTTTGCCTCCAAACAACCAGAGCCCTCCCCGTTTCCCCCGGCAGCAATACAGCCTAGAGATCAGTGAAGCTATGAGGACGGGAGCTACTCTGCTCAATCTGCAGGTATACTACTACGAATTACACATTACGACCATTTATCCATTACTTTTAGTTAACTATATCAACCCTTATTCCATTAATTTTAACCAACTAGTTCAACAGTTTATCCATTATTTTTAGCTCTTCTCGCTTGCTTACAAGCTTTATGTTAATTGTAGCCATAGTGTTCAGGGGTTACAGCTGACTCAATATGTGGGTATACATATTTTTTAAATCATATGATATTATTACATATTAATTGATATATTTAGATATATTTGAATATATACATATATATTCTTGCAAGGGTAGAATTTGCTGATAGATAAAGTATATATGAATGTGTGTGTCTGTCTCTGTTTACCTTTTAAGGCAGTGGATCGGGAGAGGGACCCCATCACGTACGAAATCCATAGTGGTGACCGCCATGGACATTTTGTGCTACAGCAGAAGTAAGCATGCACAAATAATTCTAATGTTTGATCAAACCTTTGGAGCTTGCTGAAGTTGATATTTTCAGAAACTAAACCAGTAACCTTTTTCTTATTTGTGTGAATATCTGTGAAACGTTTGTCTGTGCCCTATCTGCGTATGTGCATGCCGTACAACCTTGGCAACATACATTTGCTGTGTGTGTCTGTGTGCGTGGTTGAATACAGCCTAAGGGCGTTTTCACACATATCTCATTTGGTCCGGACTTTTAAGTTTGGTCCGAACCAAAATCGTAGGTGAGAAAGGTGCCACGGTCCGGATCAAAAGACCAAAATTTGGTCCGAACTAAAGAGGTGGTCTCAGTCCGGATCAAACTGAACCATGGTTCGGTTCGTTTACAGTATGAAAACACTTTTTGGATGGTTTGGACTTTCGGACCAATTACAGGAAGTTAGGCATACATACCATAGAAGAAGAAGGAAAAAAACGGAAGAAAACCCCCGCCAGAACAAGCAAAAATTAGTCGTGGAAGTACGTGGGGAGAGGAGGAGATTATATGTTTATGTTGGTAGTAATACCATAATAACACAATCGGGATTTGCTCATTCATTTTCATTCATACGGAAAAGACTACCCGGCAAAATGACAACACTCCAACGTCAGACGCACGCCCATCTACTCACCAATCAAAGGGAGTCATAACACATGTACGTGGTGACAACACGCCGTAGCTATGTCATGGAAAGTTCTTTAGTGCGCTAGCACAATTACTATGTGAAACCGAAAATAACGGGATCAAATGTATACAATGTAATCAAACACAAACGTTGGTCCGGACCTTGGTCTGGACTTTTAGGTGTGAAAACGCCCTAAGTTATATCATTTCAGGGCTCAACCTCTGATGACTTCACATAAACACACCCATACTTGTGCATATACTCACCACACAGACTCTGAGGGCTTTTGTTGTATTTATTCATTTATTGCTCATTAAAAATGCATTTCTTATGCTGGGGGAAGATCCTATCTGCATTTCCAGAGGGAGGAGAAGAGAGAAACAAAGGAAAGACAGCAAGAGAAGGGGCAGAATTGCAAGGATTGAGAGGAGGAGAGGGAGAGAAAGAGAGCAAAGGGTTGGAAAAAGAGATAAGAGAGGAGGGCAGGCACAGAGTAAAATATGAGGGATAAAATGTTAGAGAGAGCTGGGAAGGAAACAATGAGCAAGAATGACAGACAAATGAGGATTTTAAAGGATCTGCTGCACAGAAATTCACAACAACAAAGACTAGAATTAATTGAAGAGCTTTTATTTCTGCTTTCTACGAATATTTGAATGGTTCTGTTGGACACTGTGAATCTTCCAGTATGTGCCAAAATCTTTCATTGCCTCAGCTGTGTTTTCTGCATTATGGCGCTATGACAACAAGCCAAACTCTCTTTCTTCTGCACAAGTGCAACATGCCATGCAGCTCATAATTGGCACAGGATAGAATGGTTTTTTATTGCTTTTGTGCAGAATTTGGGCCAGTTAAATACTCCAGAAACGCATCGGGAGAGCACCCGAACAGGTCTGCTATTGGCCCATTTTGCAAGGCTGGCACTGATGAAACACACACTAATGGCCAAAACGATTTCTTTAATACAGAAATTAAGGAGCCAGCATCAGTACAGGATGCAAGAGATGAGCTTTGAAGAGGTTAATCCGTTATTTTTTGAATAAATCTGAATGGTCTTATTATCTTGGGTACGTCCTGAACAATGGGGTTTACTGTGGGTCGTCCACACATGTCATAGCAGATGTTGGGTTTCATATGTGAAGAAAAAGTATCAAAATTTGTGGTGCAAATGAGAAAATAAGATTTGTGTGTGTGTGTGTGTGTGTATGTGCATGCGCCGAAGACGTACATGTGCGTTCACAGACTTTGCTTTTCACGAATCATCCATAAATATACATGAACTATCTTTTAGTTTGCCTAAAAAAAACTGCTTCATATCTTTCCCTCTGTAGGCCACTTAACATCTGCACGCGCACACACACGCACACACACACACTGTCAATATTTTGAGAACATGTGCATTTCAGATGGCTTCTAATTCATGAAAATAGCTTAAATTAAAAACACTTCAATCATTATGTAAATCTTAACTTGGAAAAAAAGTGTTTAATCAATCACGGGCAACATCAAAGATTTCTGCTGGTTTGGTCTGATTGGTCAGAAGTCTCAGACAGGCTGATCCGAAGCTGTTAATCTTCCAGAGGAGTACTTTACTTATTTTTACTTATGCAGTAATCATTTGCCTCATCTGCATCACCAAAGTACCATAATCACAGTGAAAGTACACTTCTGGGTGTTATACAGTGCTTGCTAACTGTCTGAAAAGTTGTCCCCAAAGTGGTTTATATAAAGATAAATAAACATTTTGAGAAAACAAGACAGGTTTCCAAAGTTTTCCCATGTTACCAGAGTTGGCAAAGGAACTACTTACAAATGGCTGGGAGTGTCAGCATGAGAATGATTGACATAGCTAACAATCAGTGACTTATGAACTGAAACTGTGCAGAAAATCTTGGGTATGAAAACTAATGCATACTGCACCACAGTATTCTGTATGTCTAGAGGTTAATAGGACTCTGTGTGTTCTTTCTTTCTCCAGTTCAGGGTATTTGGTTCTGGACAAGCCTCTGGACAGGGAGTCTCTGGATTATTATACCCTGGTGGTCACAGCCTCAGACGGACACCCAGATGGGGTAAGCAAAGGAGCTGTACCACACAGATATTAACTGGTTGTCTTTACTTGAGTTGTTTCACATTCCCAATGGAATTAAACTGAGTGCTGCTGCCGAGGGGGAAACTAAATCCTTCACAGCGAAATGCCACAAACAACAGCTGTGGCGTTTTGTGAAAAGAGGGATATTAGAGGCATTTTTTGGAAATGCTTCTCATTCAGTATTAATAATCATATCCATTATCAAAATAAAAAGCCAAAATCTATTTAAACAAATATGGATATTTAAATCAATGGCTATGAAAAATAATGGTGACTATAGGCTCCAGTTCTGCAACCCTGAGCATAAACAATAAGCAGTTAAGAAAATGGATTGGTAGAAAAAGAACGTAACACATTACTGCCTGGCAAAAGAATTGATCGTTGGTGCGAGTGAAGCTCACCTGGCCTTCAAATTTTTGTTTTTCAGCTTTAACAGTGAGATGTGATGGAGAAGACCTTGCAGCATGAAAGTGTGCACTAACAAAAAACTTTAATCTACCAATCATGTATACAAAGTAGGACTAAATAGTTATCAACTGATTTCAATTTTTTAACTGACCACTGATACTACTATTTTCTGTTTAGACGTCACTGTTAGATCACACAGCTCTGAGAAGGTAACTTCAATTGTGTCCCCACATAGCTGGCTAAATAAGAAAAATCTTTTTCACTCTGTTTTGACCATTTTGTCCACACCCAAAAAGAAGAACCTCCAAAGCAGATAAATAAAAATGGCAGCTTGATGTATTTTTGTTGGTATTGGAACACATTGATGTAGACCCGTTAACTCAAATGTCAGTCTAGCTGATCACACAATACAGGTGTTGTAATTAAAGACTAACTTGACATCTCCTGAAAATGTTGTTTTCACTCGCCTCCAGTGGCTTAAGTTCTCACCTTGAACACTGCAGTGACGAACAGATGTACTCCAGAACCCTGTGACATAACTGTTGTGTGGTAACATCAGTGATGCTTGTTGTAGTCAGGAGTAAAATAGACTTGAGGCACCAGAAGAGAAGTTTAACCAGCTGAGGGAGTAACCATGCTACGTCCGTTCAACTCCATATTAGATTTTTTCAGTAGACAGTTTCAGTGATCGGTTTTGTTCTTTCGCAGCTGCGAAAGAGCCAAAGCATTTTTCACTTCATCACTTTTACTGACTTTATTTATGACATTTCGGTCCTCAGACCTTCATCAGGTAAAACTCTTTTCTCTGTCAGTTTATAATGCGACTCTTTTTGAACGCAAAAACGTTCTAGTAAGTGTTCGTTTTCAAATAAAAGAGATGAGAAGACGAGATTCAAATGTTTTCCTAATTGTTTTGGCATTTCAGTGCAGATTCTGCACTTGGAAAAAACTGAAAATGCAACTGCACAAATAAACTGCAGATTTAACTCGCTTAGTGTGGATGCGGTCTGAATAAACATGTAAAATAACAAAATGGCTAAAAATGTCTCCTGCAAGAGCAATTTTGCAAAGATAAAGGTGTGTGCCCTTCCTCACTTTCTCACTTACCTAATTGTCTACAGGTCACCAGAGCCGCTTTCTCTAGCTCTCTCTGTTTGTGTTCTCCTCTTCTGTCTTTTTTTAAAAGTCAAATCATCACATGAAAGTCAAATGAAGACATTGGATGCCCTCCCCTCTTCCCTCCTCCTGTACTCCTCTGGCTTTCATCAGTTTCCTTTCTTCCCATTTCTCCTCTCCTCCTCATCATCTATTAGTCTAGCATTAAGAAAGGTTTGTATCCCCTCCGCTACTTCTCCTCGTCACTGACCCCCCTTCCACACATGTCAATTAAAACGAAAGGTAAAGTTTAAGGTCCCTCTGAGGAGAGAAAATGCTGATTTGAATGCTGTGACCTTCTCTCACACAAACCCTTGCGCACACTATGTCGGGGGAGAACAAGTGGGAGGAAGTTAGAGAGGTGAGGTATTCAGGCAGCTCTTATTACCTTAACAGTTGTACTGTGTGTTCATACACAATTCTATAAAGGAGTCTTGACACGTACACACTCTCAGACATGCACACATGTACTTAGTCAATTCCTCTCTGGACCTTGACAATTAGTGTATTATCTTTGTGCCCCAAAGGTCTTTAAGCCAGAAAACTGCTAAAAGTAGTTTGGACATTTTTCTGCTTGACACTCCATTATATTCTGAACAAGGGGAAAAAACAGAGTAGAATTGTGAATAGAGAGAGAGCGAAGGTGTGCAAGAGAGGAATGGTATGAGCTACACAGAGACAGGAGGGAAGACAAGGAAAGAAAGAAATAGAAAAAGGAGAAGAGAAGATTGGGGTGTAGTTGCTTTATACAGGCCCATTAATCAGCATCACTCGAAAGGCCTTGGGTTGTCTTCATATGCGTGTGCACACACACACTCATGCACACGTCTGTGTCCCCTATTATTAAATGTCCCGTTGTGAGAGTGTCAGACTACAAAGTGCCTAATTGGCTATTTGGCCAGTAAATCCATCATACTGCCACAGATTGAGGAGCCTACAAGCTGGTGCAGTAAACCAGCTCAACTGTAAGGACACTGGTCATCGTAGGATGCAACTTACACTTAGTATAGTACTGTGTCATGACATGGGTTTGTAAATCAGCTCATGTTTCATTGTGTGAATTGGCGCTGCTGTAGCTAAATTCATGCGGGTAATATGACTTGCGGCTTAAAGAATAAGGCTGGTGTTCTTCTATGTTTTTTTCTTAATGCGAACAAATCCCATGAAAAGAAAAAAACAATGTGTTGATTCTTCTTACCATAATTTCCAACATATCTACTAGGGTTTAAGGGTACACAAAATTCACGATTCGATACGTTTTCAGAACAGCAAAATTGGCCTTAATTCTTACTGTAACAGTTAAGACACTCAAATACTGACATATTGTCAATAAGAAAAAATAACAAATGTCAGTACTGCTTCATTGTAAGACTACGAATAAATGTCAAGATAGAATTCTTCAGCTCTGCTCTCTCATTTGTGTTTGCCATTTGGATAACATTGACACTACATGAACTTATCTAGCCTGGCTAACAGGGCTGAGCAGACCAGCATGCTACAGCTGATAGACAACAGCTGGTGCAATGCCAAAACATTCCAGGTAAAGTTTGTGCTCTCTTCCACGCATGCAAGTACATAGATATAAATAGACTGTTTTGACAGTAATTGTTTGGGTCACAGAGCGTACCTGACCGAGGAAGTCCCATGCCCTGCCATTCCTACTGAAGACATAACTATTTAAAGATTGGTCACAAATATATAGTTAAAGTAAATTCCTGAGACAACTGGGAACTGCAGTTTTTAGTTAGTAGTGTATTTTTTTGGGACTATTTTCAGTTAAGTTTACTACATTTTTAAAGTTTAGACACGTCATGTCAGCAGAGTACTAGTGGGATGTGTCTGTGTTGCACACCTGCGTGAATATGATCAAGCCTTACTGCTCAGGTGGCAGCCCAACAGCTTGTGAATGACTCGGTGATCGTGAAGCATGAAGGACTTGAGAAAAATATAAAATATTGCCAGCTGTATATTTTTGTTGCAACACCATAGAGCAAGCACAGCAGTTTGGTGTTAAGGGTTTGCGATGCCAAGTTTTTAAGCTGGCAGATATCAGCGGATTTCCATCTATCACAGGTGGTTGCTGAGCAATTGTCCAGACAGGCAGGGATCACGCTGCAGAAAGTGAGACTCAAAGCTAAAATCACATTTTACTCCAAAGGCTACCCTTCACCACAGGAGGCTTGCGCAATATGTGTGCATGCTAATACTATGAAAATTCACATGAATAGGAACATGTGCTATATGTATTGGGTGATTAGATTCTCATATTTTGATCACATTGGTCATTTTCAAAAAGAACAGCCTGTTCCAGGCAAAATGCATCTAAGAGTATACAGCTCAAATCCTTAAAATATGGCGTCTGCAAGGAGGTGGGTGTTAAACTTTTGCCACGGTATCAGCAAGATAATAACCTCAGTGGTATGCACTTATCGAAAAATGATGTGCTTAGAGCCCCCTGATGCAAAATGGAGTTTACTGCGTCTCTTCCTCCCTTTGTGTCTGTCTGAATGTGTTTGCTAGTATTGCTCACTGCCTGCCTTTTCATTATATCCGAGCTCATTCTACTTTACATATATTGGCATTCAGATAAACTGTTTTGTCAACTGTGAGCTCTTAACCTCAAATTACTTGCATCACCGTGTGCCCTGCCAACCTCAATAGCCTGTTGTCACCTCTGTGATTGTCACTCTCCCACACACACACACCCCCACACACACACACTGCTTTTGCTCTTCTCATCCCACTGTTGTGAATCCGTTAGCTCTACCTCATTTTCCACCTCCTCCCAGTTTCCTTCTTTAAAAGTCAAATCTTCAATCTCTCTCTCTCTCTCCCTCCTCCTCCCCCCCCCCCTCAAAATTAACAAATTTGTGACCACCTCTTACCAGCTTCTTCCTTTCCTGCTCTCTTACGTGGCAATATTGTTTGTGCTTTACTGTAAACAAAAAACTGGTTTTTTAATCAATTCCCTCCCAACATTGACAAACCTGCTTTAATGCTTCAGGTGCTCAATTTAGTTTTGTTGTATTTCACGACTTTCTTGGAACAGATTTTCGAGTTTACAGCATACACCCATGATCAGTTTCACATTGAATGGCTAAAACAATGGCACAACATCAACATCTATTGTTTGTTCGCAACAATTGTTTACATTTAAAACCGTGAAGCCGTCATGTCTGTCTCATATCTTGTCCCTCCGACTTTTGGTAACAAAACAATAGCATGTGGTGTGTTTATTTAATTAAAGCAACTGAGCTGTCTGTTCCTAAAGGACTGCCATATAATTGACTAGAAATAGCTGTCTGTGATGTTATTGGCTTGGCTCGTTTGTGTGTCTGTGTTGTATTTATTGTATATTGAAATATACGTCTACTACTGCCCAGCCCTACTAAATACACATTCTAAGCGGGCAATCAGTCCTGCGCTAAAACAGTACAAAGGGCAGCGTTGGTGGGGTTGTGTTGTCTCAGGTACCATGAGAAGATGATGGCACAGGAAGTCCAGTTCGAGTAGTACATCTGAGTTTGAAGGAATATGTGCTTGCATGTTTTTGATTGGCTAATGTAACGCTTTTCCAAATGACGGTGAATTGCGTTGTTCCAAGTGCACAATCTGCAGTGAAGCCACCACAGTGGTCCCATTCAAACTCTGTCTGAACACAGCATTTATTTGACCCTTTGATACCCTTCTTAAGAAATTTTAACATCTTTCTTAATTATTTAATTTTACCACCAATATCCCTTTTTACATTGCAAGACAAGGTGCAATGTGGACCATTGCCGAACTGTTTTTAAATCTACTAGTACAGGGAACAGTTGTTAGAAGCACAAAGAGATGAGACAGCCAGGACTAGAGTTCAGCTAATTAGCAAGCAAAAATGGGCTATTTAGTTTGTTACATAAGAGAGGTGTTAGTAAGAGGGACAAATAGACAAAGATGGTCAAATAAAACCTGTGAAATTTGAAGATGTATTCATCCTGTGTACTAATGATAAAAAAACAAAACTTTTTTGAGTTGTCGAACATGTTAAATGGAATACAAAATACAACTTTAGATGTTTTCTCAACTGACCAGAATAGTAACACAAATGTGTGTGTGTGTGTGTGTGTGTGTGTGTGCGTGTGTAGACCTCCACAGCAACGGTGAACATTGTGGTGACAGATGTTAATGACAATGACCCGCTGTTCGATTCTTCACTGCCAGTGAACCTCACTGTCATCGAGGAGCAGAATCACGCCTACGTTGGACAGGTCAAGGTAAGAAAATGCACACACACTCAAACACAAACACACATGGAGAAAAGCGGCAAACGCAACATGTCTTTGAATTCATTTTGATAGTCCACAATGTGCTGTACATTTATTCACTGTGCACATGTATAAGTACAGCATGTTTATATGAGAGTGTATTTGTATGCTAATGTCTTCATTATGCAAACATTTATGACTATGCATTTGTTGTTTTGTGTGCTTTTCCTTGCACTAATTAGTTATAATGATGTGTCATGTACAAAAAAGCAAATTTAGTTCACAATTTATTTCACTGTATCAGTAATTCCTGTCTGCGCATCTGTCATTTAACATGCTCTCTCACTGTGCAGGGCGTTTTAATTGCCAATTACACTTGTCTCTGTTATTTCTGTAGTGGTGTAGATCAGCGTGTTTGAAACTAGTCACACAAGTCTGTGTTATTGTGGCAAGGATCATAATGTCTCACTGTAAGCAACATAATTACTTAAACTATAAAGGTGCCGTAAGACTTGTCTACATTTATATTTCTTCTCTCTTTCCTGTCTCTTACAACACATGCACACAGCACACAAAGATTCACAGAGGCACTAATTAAATTCTGCTCTTATAATCTTTTACAGTGGGGACCGGAGATCACTAGCATAACTCTGTAAACCTTGGTAGCTTTGTAATTAAGACTCTATGTTATTATGCTCAGAGGACTCCGTGTGTGTGCATATTTATAGGCGGACAGGCTACAAGGATTTGAGAGAATGATGTATTAGTGTCCCCTTTTTTTACGTGAGAGGACGGTATCTATTTGAGTTTAATGTTTTCCCGTATTTTAAATATTACTTCCTGGGAGTCTATCATCCCTTGTTCCTAGGAAAACTGAAATTTCTCAAAGTTGCCAAGTTTCTCAACATAGAACTGCAAACTATTATTCATAAAACGGGGGTTATTCTCATTATTTTGTTATATTACTTTTATATTCTTCTAAAAGTATACTGTGATGCAAGATGCAATTATGAAATCATTGAACTGTAAGCAGCCATTTTAACAGGTTAAGTAATGGAAAGAAACAGCTCCAGTTGAAAAGTTGATCCACTTATATTGATGTCGTCATGGCATGTGAAGGTTGGGCTTCTTAGCATTTTGCTACAACAGTTGCATGGTAGTATGGCTTGGAGAATTCTTGCAAGTATTTTTCCCTGGAAAAGAGGGCAGATTTTGACAATAATTTCTGTTGTGGTCTCAATTTCCATCTATTGTGTGTCGAAATAGCTGTAAATTTAAGAAGACAAATATGCATGAAACTATAAAAGAAAAGAAAAATAAGCACATTTATAAGTAACATGATCTCTTCTCAGCTGTGTTGGATGCATTTTCAACTGATCAGCACCCTCGTCTCCTCTTAACAAAGACTCCTGGACTTGTTCCAGACGTAATAACTGACTCATGTATTCCCCAGACTGGGGTCATGGGTAAATCTGACACTTTGATAGGCTCTGATCTTTAAAGATGCTCCCTTGGTTGCACGCTTGCTTGGATTTGCTCCAAGCTTAATTCATAGCCTTTATACACCAGTGTCACAGGGTCTTTGATCAGTCTGACACTTTGCTAGGTTCTAAATGTTAACAATGCTTCTTTGGTTGAACACTAGGACTACTGCCAGGATAAATATATGGCCCTTGTACACCCATGTCTAGAATTTTGAACAAGTCTTACTTTTAACAGGTTCCAAACTTAAAAGTTCAATACCTTTTCTTATTTGGACAATTGGGCACCATTCCAAACTCATAAACCCAACCTTATCCTTAAAGAGGACATTTCATCTCAAGCATTCAAAATTTCAACTCTCGCTCAGCCCTTTGGTCATGTTCCAGATTCAACATCCAAAAACCCACCCTAATCTTCAGAGAGGGCACTTGAAAGTATTCCAATCCTGAACTTCCTCCCTTTCAAGGACCCTTGGATATTTTCCAAACCAAAACAGACGGTGTGATCCCTCAGCGAGCTGTGCAAGGCACGACTCTGGGACTCATTCCAAGCCAGGGTCCCTACCTGTAGGTATTAAACAAATTTCCGGAAAAATGAATGGACCTGACCTTGGTTTGCCGATGCTGGTAAGGTAGAGAGAGATGGAAGGAGGGGAGGAAGTGAAACATGCATGGGTGGCAGAGAGAAATATGACGCTAGGGAGAGGTAAGAGGGGTGGAGAGAGAGAAGAAGAGGGATAACAGCTAAGGGAGTACAGATGCATTCTTAATCTGACTTTCATGAGTTTAAGACATGGTTTCTATATTAAAGAGGAAAAAAATCACTAAAAGAAGGAAGACTCAAGGAAAAGGTCACATGACCATTTCCCTCTTACAATTCAATGAATGTAGACCCAATAAGGAATGTTAGATATTTAGAAATGCCTCAACGACGTACATATACAGGCTACTTCTTACGTTGTTTAGGACACATTTACATTGAGCATATATAATAATAATAATGGCAACAAATGATCTATATGTGATTTAATAATGTTGCAAAAAAAACAAAGAAACAACAAAACTAGTGGTGAGTAAGTACACAAAATGTCAAAGACTAAAAAGGGACAAAATAAATAATACACAATAAATTCAAACTGACTTCCTTTTGGGGTTGGGATATGGCTCAATAAGGCTTTTTGGAAGTCTGGATTTGATACATGTACCAACTGATTTTCATACAGCTCAGTGAAACTGACTGTTTCAAACATATTTAGGACCCCAAAAATGTGATCAATTTCTATAAATAAATTAAAAGTAATCCATAGGACATTATACTATTAAGATAAGTAATGTGGTTATGTAGAATTATACAATTTAATATGTTATACAAGTTTTTCTATATATTATTTAAATTAACTAACCTATTAAATGGTGGTTACATTTAAACAGATTAATAAAATGGTGAATGCTTCATTTGCATCATATTGTGGTGGACAGTATAAAGCAAAAAACCTTTTTTTTCTGTATATAATGTTGACAATGTTGAACCTCAGTGGACAAAACGTCATCCCAGGATCTGCAATTTGGCTTTGAAATCAAACATTTTTGATCAAGCTAGCTGCCTCTTCATCACTTTACAGTCTCAGTTATCCCTCCACGGTAGCCATCACTCCTCCAGCACTGGGAGGGACAACACAACACCGGATGATTTTGCTGATTTCCTTCAACCTCAGAGAGGGGAATGAATCAGTAAAATCACCTGCCGCAGTTGTTAGCTGGAATGAAAAAATTGCAGACTGGTCCTTCATGCCATGATTGTCCCTACAGTATGGTTGTTTACTGTCTACGTGTACATGGCCATACGCTGCACAGAAATGGCTCTGTTTCTTTCCTTTTTTTATAAGAAAAGATCTTTGAAGGGAAAAACACTTGAAGAAGTAATATCGATCTTTCTTGTGGTCAAACATGTTTCCATTCACCACTACAGCATTTTACTACAGACAAACAATATATATATATATATATATATATATATATATTGTGATTTAGAACATCCGAGAAAGCCACCACCAATGCTAGGAAAACAGGAAAAATGGTATGGAATGTATGATATTTTTCTTGTCTTTATATTAACACATATTGGCATTTACTGTTATTAGTTAGTCCGTTTTTTATAATCGTTTTGGAAAAGTGAACATTTTCTTCTTGTCTTTCTGTTTCATTTGATTTTTCATTTCACAACCTAAGTCGGTAAACTTCTCCATTTATTTACAAGAAAATAAAAAAAAATTTGTAAAGCAGGAATATGTTTTTTCGCCTTTGCTACCCTGTTTATCATCTTGCAACCACTCAGATTCATCTTGTCTCCTCATGTGTTCCTCCTGCAGAAAAGATCATTATACAATGTGACAGTACACAAAACAGTTCAAACAGTTGCAATGAAGTTCAGGTGCAGCACAACATCAACCTAATGGGTAACAGAATTTAAAAGCAGAAATATCAGACACTCAAATATAGGAGCGATCACTCTCTTTCTCACATACACACATACACACACACACTAACATAATGTAGGAGGAAGACTACTAGAGTGAGTGCTTGTCTGTATGCGTAACTTACTGAGAAAAAACTCCCACACTGTTATGATACCTGACTATATGGTTTATTGGTGCAGCAAAAGAAATGTGCTCAGAGACGGATAAAAAAAAAAATCTCAGTAATTTAGTTTCAGTTGCAGGTACTTCTCTAGCTGTATCTAGGAATTAAATTAGAGGTGGAGGTGAGAGAGTGATGAAAAGAGAAAAGAAAAAAAAGGGGGAAATTGGAAGAGGTATGAGCACCCGAACACGAAAGGCAGAGCTAGTGATTGTAGAGATAGTGTATATTTCGGGCCTTAAGCTGCTTTTTTTGTCAGTGTGTGTTGAAAAGCAGCAGAAGTAACGCAGCTGAGACATTAATCCTATTGTGTTTCTGGCTTTTAACTGTCTGGCAATGTAATTATACTGAGAGAACTGTGAGAGACAGTGAGGGAGGGATAAGACACAAGAAAAAGAATAGAGGAGGAAGGATAGAGGCAGAGAGAAAATCATACAGGCATGCATGCTTGCTACAGTACCTAACTCCAGGAACTGCAGACATCAATATGTTTGACATCGAGACGATTAATCCAGTTTACGAAAGGAGTTCATACAGTGGCTAAAATGCAAAGCTATGACAACTTTACTGTCCGCTTGACAGAAGGTTTAATGGACAATAATGTTTCCCTGTCATATATCACAACATCTGCCCTTTTCATAATTCTTTACATGTGAAAGCACTTGTGAATCAGACCTGAATGCTATATTCACTGTTGGTGACAACTTGAAAATGTGTCACTTAAAGGAATCGCTTATTCGCTTTCTTGTAAAGAGCTGGATGAGAAGATTGATACCACCCAGTTATCTGTCATTATTAAGTATAAGGCTTCATCCACATGCTGGTTAGCTTAGGTTAGCGTACAGCTTGGAAACAGAGGGGAAACAGCTAGCCAGGCTGTGTCCAAAGTCT